CAACTCTCATTGTGGGAGTTGAAACCCAAAACACCTGGAGGGCAGAATTTTGCCCATGCCTGCTTTAGAATGATAATTCTTTCAAAACTATTATACTCTTGGGCTACAAGTTAGACCATGGGATGGAGAAATTATCAAGCTTAACATCTTTAAACAAAACATATCAAAAGCTGGTTAAATCTTTTTTTTAAAAAACGCCGTTCCCCTACTGCCATCTTGTAGCTTTGAGTAGATTATGTTTGCTTTACAGTATTGAGGATTTGAAAGGCAAATGGCAAATATATGAGCCTTAAACTTGAACGGACTAATGTTAAATGAGGTACGGGAGGCACAATTGTGCTGTATTTCCACATGCCAAAAAAATAAATGAAAGGACAATAATAAAATGGCTACCTGTACGCAGGCATTTCATCTTGGACAGTGGTCTGTGTGTTGTTTTTCCACCACAAAAAAGTATGTGTGATGCATGTTTCCGGGCCACTTTGCATTTCACGAATACATGTATTCAGGTTAAGAGTAATTCTCATGCAGCAGCATGGGACATGTTAGCCCCCTAGTTGTTTTGTTGCAGAATCCACACAACACATATACAAAGTAGGTTGTTACACAAAATTATCATCTGCACTGTTGTATTAAAGAAATCCCCAAGGTTTCAACTACTTATTACATGCACTTCTTTCTACAAATGAATGACTAGACAAGATATATTGATCACTGCCAGTTTTTGTGTCCCAGGCCTATTAGTATTGAAAGTGTCGTTTCAGCAAACTGATACATCACGGCAGAAACAAAGTGGTGTGGCTGTCACTTGGTTTGATTCCGTAATACAAGAACTATATTTTTTATTTTATTGTTCATCTTAAGTGAGTAGTCTGTGGAAATGCTGCTTAGCTTTAAACAGTACTGACATTACATGATGGAAGCCTGCTTGTCTCCAACAATTCTCCCATTTTCATTGTGCAGACAATAATAACAGCATACAGCACTTCTGAAAGCCCTGATATTCCAATTCCAAAAAAAGTTGAAAAGAATCTGCCAACTCAATGGGAACATCCCCCCAATAGCTGCTCTATGATATTGAGCTTCTAAGACTTTTCAATTCGTGACCCCCTTTAAGCCCGAGAAATTTTTATGTGGGCCTGAGTATACATAGGTATATAAAATAGGTATGAAAATTAAATTTGCTGTTAACAAGTCAGCATTTGCAAGGCTTGTTAAACATACTGAGTTTCCTTTTTATGAAGTACAGCTGAAGCATCCTCTGCAGATTTCACTATAAACACTGCACAGCAAATGTGTGTAAATGCCTAAAACAGCCACTAGATGTAATGCTGAGAACTCTGTTGCCACATGTTTCAGGACCTCAACATTGAGCTAAAGGGTTGGGACCCACAGTTTACGAAGCAGATAAGCAAGTCTTGCTCTGATTCCAAAGGGAACTCAACCCCAATTTAATAACCAATTTTAAAAATTGTTGCATTTACATGGACTTCAACTCCCAGGATTCTATCGCACTGAGCCATAACATATGGCTATAACGTAGATACAATATCTGTAGGGATACCAAGGTGCTTCTTTATAAAGCAACTGTCCTTCCAACCCTGCTATACACCTGCAAAATGTGGTCTGTCTGTAGACGTCACGCTCAACTCCTGAAACAATTCCATCATTGTTGCTTCCAAAAATTCCTGCAAAACTCTTGGGAAGACAGGCAGACAAATGTCAGTGTGCTGGAAGAAGCAAAGACCACCAGCATTGAAGCAATGCACCTATACCATCAACTCCGCTGAACTGGCCACGTTGTCCAAATGTCTGATCACAGTCTCCAAATCAGTTTCTCTCAGCTCAAGACCGGAAACAGAATGTTAGTGAACAGAAAAAGAGATTTAAAGATGGGCTTGAAGCTAACATTAAAAATTGTGGCATAGACACTGAGAACTGGGAAGCCCTGGCCCTTAAGCGTTCTAACTGGAGGTCTGCTATGACCAGCAGTGCTGTGGAATTTGAAGAGACATGAATGGAGGGTGAAAGGGAGAAACGTGCCAAGAGAAAGACACATCAAACCAACCCTAACCGAGACCATCTTCCACTTGGAAACCAATGCCCTCACCATGGAAGAACATATGGATCAAGAACAGGGCTCCAAAGTCACCAACATATCCACTGCCAAGACACTTGGACAGCCATCATACTCAGACAACAAGGGATTGCCTAAGTAAGTAAGTATGTACAGGTGTAAGGGACAGCCTCATTTATAAGTTGAGGACAGCTTGGGGCCCAAAATTTTCAAGTTGGATATGACCTGTAGATAAATCAAAGGTCATTCCATGGAATAACAATGACAAAGCGTTGCAGTACGTTTAGGGGAGGGGGGCATAAAAAAGATATTGTCCTTCTTTCCTTTCATCCATCTTTCCTTCTCTCTTTCATTCCTCCTTCCTTCCATCACTGGGCAGCTAGTCCTAGCAGGGAGTGCTAGTATGTGACGCCCAAGTTAGAAAGTTTGCCCATGTGTGGTGTAAGCCCTCCATTCATTCTAACAATGTAATTAGGAGCCTCCGGTGGCACAGTGGGTTAAACCCTTGTGCCAGCAGGACTGAAGACTGACAGGTCGCAGGTTCAAATCTGGGGAGAGCGCGGATGGGCTTCCTCTAACAGCTCCAGCTCGTCATGTGGGGACATGAGAGAAGCCTCCCACAATGATGGTAACACAGCAAAACATCTGGGCGTCCCCTGGGCAACGTCCTTGCAGATAGCCAATTATCTCACACCAGAAGCGACTTGCAATTTCTCAAGTCGCTCCTGACATGACAAAAAAAAAAGCAAAACAATGTAATGTGTAAACCGATTGCATTGGTCTTCCTCTGGGGCTGAGAAGAAGTGGGTTTCCATCCTGAGTAGGGACTCGAACCCATGGCTCTAAAGTTATAGCGCAAATTATAAACCACTTATTTTTTTATTTACGGCATTTATATGCTGCCCTTCTCACCCCGAAGGGGACTCAGAGCAGCTTACAAGTAATATGTAAATACAATATATTATATTATTACCATAACACAATAATAATATTATATATTACTATATTGTACTATATCATTATACTGTAATATTAGTAATATTACATGTAATTGTTGTTCATTCATTCAGTTGTTTCTGACTCTTTGTGACCTCATGGACCAGTCCACGCCAGAGCTCCCTATCAGCCGTCACCACTCCCAGCTCCTTCAAGGTCAATCCAGTCACTTCAAGGATGCCATCCATCCATCTTGCCCTCAGTTGGCCCCTCTTCCTTTTTCCTTTCCATTTTCCCCAGCATCATTGTCTTCTTTAAGCGTTCCTGTCTTCTCATGATGTGGCCAAAGTACTTCATCTTGGCCTCTAATATCCTTCCCTCCAATGAGCAGTTGGGCTTTATTTCCTGAAGTATGGACTGGTTGGATCTTGTCGCTGTCCAAGGCACTCTCAGAACTTTCCACCAGCACCACAGTAATATAATACATACTACACAGTAATAGATACATGTAATATAAAATATATAATTATAATATATAATTATTGGTATTATATTGTATTACATTATACATTATACTCTAAAGCCTTTGACTGTGTGGATCATAATAAATTGTGGCAAGTTCTTGGTGGGATGGGCATACCAAGCCACCTTGTCTCTCTCCTGAGGAATCTGTACAAGGACCAAGTAGCAACAGTCAGAACTGACCACGGAACAACAGACTGGTTCAAGATTGGGAAAGGCTGCATCCTCTCACCCAACCTTTTTAACTTGTATGCAGAACACATCATGCGATGTGCGGGGCTGGATGAATGCAAAGCTGGGGTGAAAATTGCTGGAAGAAACATTAACAACCTCAGATATGCAGATGACACCACTCTGATGGCCGAAAGCGTGGAGGAGCTGAGGAGCCTTCTAATCAAGGTGAAAGAAGAAAGCGCAAAAGCCGGGTTGCAGCTAAACGTCAAAAAAACCAAGATTATGGCAACAAGAATGATTGACAACTGGAAAATAGAGGGAGAAAACGTGGAGGCAGTGACAGACTTTGTATTTCTAGGTGCAAAGATTACTGCAGATGCAGACTGTGGCCAGGAAATCAGGAGACGCTTACTTCTTGGGAGGAGAGCAATGCCAATCTCGATAAAATAGTGAAGAGTAGAGACATCACACTGGCAACAAAGATCCGCCTAGTCAAAGCCATGGTATTCCCTGTAGTAACCTACGGATGTGAGAGCTGGACCTTAGGGAAGGCTGAGCGAAGGAAGATAAGATGCTTTTGAGCTGTGGTGCTGGAGGAAAGTGCTGGGAGTGCCTTGGACTGCGAGAAGATCCAACCAGTCCATCCTCCAGGAAATAAAGCCCGACTGCTCATTGGAGGGAAGGATACTAGAGACAAAGTTGAAGTACTTTGGCCACATCATGAGGAGACAGCAAAGCCTGGAGAAGACAATTATGCTGGGGAAAGTGGAAGGCAAAAGGAAGAGGGGCCGCCCAAGGGCAAGATGGATGGATGGCATCCTTGAAGTGACTGGACTGACCTTGAAGGAGCTGGGGGTGGTGACGGCCGACAGGGAGCTCTGGCGTGGGCTGGTCCATGAGGTCACGAAGAGTCGGAGACGACTGAACGAATGAACAACAACACATTATACAGGACTATTATAAATATATGTATATACAATATATTATATTATAAGCACAGTGTAGGAGCTAAGGTGGAACTGTCTTCCTGGCCCCCTCTCTTCACTCTGGTCCCAGAGCAGTAGTTGCTGCTGAGGGGAGGAGCTCCCAACTGATGACACTTCACGCTGGTTTCATCCTCTTTTTTGTTTTGGTTTATGGTTATCCCTCGGCCTGCCATTGGCTAGTTTCCTGTGCTGAGGTGCAATTACAAAGCGAGCTCGCCAGCGCGAGCTCCGGGGCAAGTCAATCAGAAGAGGCGCGTGCGCAAGTGGGCGGGGCCGCGCGCGAGACGGCGTTCGTTGCTCAGCAGCGCCCCCGCCGGTGGCTCGAGGCCAGATGGCGTCAGCAGCGGTGCTGCGTAGTAACCGACGCTCCCTCAGCCGCTGCTTCTTCTCCGCAGCCGCCTCTTCGCCTCCGCGCGCCAAAATGGAGGCCGCTTCGTCGTCGGGAGCCGCGGCGGCCTCTCCTCCGCCTTCCCCCGTTTGGCTGGGCTCGCTCCGCTTCGACAACCGGGCGCTGCGGGCCCTCCCTCTGGACCCCAGCGAGGAGAACGTGCCCCGCCCGGTGCCGGGAGCGTGCTTCTCGCGAGTACGGCCCACGCCGCTGGCCAACCCGAGCCTGGTGGCGGCCTCCGCGCCGGCGCTGGCGCTGCTGGGCCTGAGGGAGCCGCGGACGGAGGCGGAGAAGGCCGAGGCGGCGCTGAACTTCAGCGGGAACCGGCTCCCGCCCGGCGCCGAGCCCGCCGCCCACTGCTACTGCGGGCACCAGTTCGGGAGCTTCGCCGGGCAGCTCGGGGACGGCGCCGCCATCTACCTGGGCGAGGTGCTGAACGCGGAGGGAGAGCGCTGGGAGGCGCAGCTCAAGGGCGCCGGCCTCACGCCCTTCTCCCGGTGAGAGAAAGACAGAAGGCCGCGCCCACACTCGCGTACAGCCATGGGCAAGCTGCGGCCTTCCAGGGGGGTTGGACTTCAACTCCCAGCATTCCTAACAGCCTACCTCAGGCCCCTCCCTTCAGTAGAATCAAGGCCGTTGATTGCCATGGCTCAATGCTGTGGGATCCTGGGACTTGTGGTTTCACAAAGTCTTCAGCCTCCCCTGCCAAGCAGCCTAACTACAACTCCCAGGATTCTGTAGGAATTAAAAGTGGTCAAACTAGCCTAGACTCTCAGTTAACCGACGTCCATGGGGTTTGGTAGATGCCGGATAAAGGTTGTATGTGGTTGCTGGAGCGTTACTAATAAAAATAAGCCCAACTAATGCCATAACCACGTACTGTGGAGTACCATACAGCCTGTATTGGTATATTAATAATGAAACAGTACCATACAGCCTGTATTGGCATATTAATAATGAAACAGGCACTCTCCAAGTTATGAATAAGATAGGTTCTGTAGGCTTGTTCTTAAGTTGAATTTGTATGTAAGTTGGAACTGAGACATTTTAAAGTGTAACTCCAGCCATATATACATATAATGGGCCCCAGTGGCTCAGTGGGTTAAAGTTCTGAGCTTGTTGATCAAAAGGTCGCAGGTTCGATTCCGGGGAGCGGCGTGAGCTTCCGCTGTCAGCCCTAGTTTCTGCCAACCTAACAGTTCAAAAACATGCAAATGTGAGTAGATCAATAGGTACAGCTCCAGCGGGAAGGTAACAGTGCTCCATGCAGTCATGCCGGCCACATGACCTTGGAGGTATCTATGGATAATGCCGGCTCTTTGGCTTCGAAATGGAGATGAGCACCACACCCCAGAGTCAGACATGACTGGACTTAATGTCAGGGGACATTAATACACACACACAACAATATATATACACACACACAACAAACACACTCACTAGCTTGAGTACCAGGCGGTGCCTGGGTTATTTGTAAAATGCATTATTTGTTTTGGGGTGTTGGGTAATATTATTTAGTTAATTAGTAACACTAATTAACTCACTGATTTCGTTGTTTATGAATGCTCCCATTAGAAAATACAGAAGGATGTGGGTGAACTACATTTCCCAAAACCATAGGTCAATCCTCCCCAAACTGCCATTATTTACATTTGGCTATATTTGGTCAGTGTGCCAAGTTTGGCCCAGATCTGACGTTAGCTGGATTTGGGTGTCCCTTCAGGAGCCCCCGGTGGCGCAGTGGGTTAAAGCACTGAGCTGCTGAGCTTGTTGATCGAAAGGTCGCAGGTTCGATTCCGGGGAGCGGTGTGAGCTTCCGCTGTCAGCCCTAGCTTCTGCCAACCTAGCAGTTCGAAAACATGCAAATGTGAGTAGATCAATAGGTACCGCTCCAGCGGGAAGGTAACAGTGCTCCATGCAGTCATGCCAGCCACATGACCTTGGAGGTGTCTACGGACAACGCTGGCTCTTCGGCTTAGAAATGGAGATGACCACCACACCCCAGAGTCAGACATGACTGGACTTAATGTCAGGGGACTACCTTTACCTTTACCTCAGGAGGAAAAACAGAACATCTAGAATGAAATTGTCCCTGAATGAAAGCCTTCACTTGGGTGGTGAGCAGTATGGTGTTTGGGGATGAAATTGACAGGGTTTGGGCTACATGTTCATGGGGCCCACTGTAACCTGAAATGTCATTGGAGGTAGGGTTTCTGGTGACTCTTCAGCACTGCGGATTAAAGCTGTTTATGGAGGCGGGAGGCTGTCTGTATAAGTGAACATGTCCGCCACATACACATATACACATTTTCACTTTAATTATGTGTATAGTTATACGTACATATGTATCTATATATGTAATTACCTTTGGATAGCATAAGAAAAGGCTAATGGCCCTGTGGTGTTTGTTTTGCTTTTCTGTGCCCATGTTCAGAAGATTTCCCCTCACTTTCTGTCCCAGTGAGTATTGGATTTGGAAAAATGTGCCTAGTTGCAGAAAAAAGGATTGGTAAGAAAGCTTCATTGGAGACACATTTTTCCCCATGATAACTCTTTCAGGCATGAATTTCCTTTCAGGGGGGTAGATTTCTCTCACTTTCTGTTTCACTCCCAACCTTAATTATGAGTCGTAAGTCAGATGTTTGTAACTCGAGGACTGCCAGAATTGTAATTAAAAGTGAATTAACACAAAGGCGGATCTAATACAACATGCTTTTACTATTATAAAAATTGATTTTATTTTCAATTTTTATTTCAAGTATTTATTATTGATTTGGGTTTTTTTGTTTGTTTTGTTTTTTTGTCAAGAGTTATGTTTGTTCCAGTTTCCTGAGAATCTGTTGTATGTTAATTCTGCACGGTAGGTCCCGTGCTTGCTTGACACATCATTGCTGTGTGCCTTCAAGTTGTTGTCAACCACAGGGCTTTCTTGTCATGATATGTTCAGAGAGAGTGCTGGAAACAGAAATCAAGTAATGTAATGACATTCAATCGTATCTGTGATTTCTGATATCCATGATTTCCCCTGGGAGCCTTAATGTATTTAAATGTAACCCATCAGATAGCAGTAAATTGCTAGTACACCTTGATTTATAACAGTCCTTTTTTTGTGTGTCAGGAGTGACTTGAGAAACTGCAAGTTGCTTCTGGTGTGAGAGAATTGGCTGTGTAATAAGACATTGACCAGGTAAAGCCCAGATGTTTTACCATCCTGTGGGAGGCCTCTCTCATGTCCCTGCATGAGAAACTGGAGCTGACAGACAGGAGCTCACTCCCCAGATTCAGACCGCTGACCTTTCGGTCTGCAGTCCTGTCGGCACAAGGGTTTAACCTATTTTACCGCCGGGGGCACCAACAGTCCTAATTATTCAGTGGGATTTACTTTTGAGAAAAATCTGTATAGGACAGCAGTATAACATGAAAGAATACTGTTGTTTCACATTTGGATTACTTGGAAATTTTCTTCTTTTTGAAAATATGAAATTCTGACACAACATTTCATTACAGATCTCTCTTTTCTTTATGAATTTCAGACAAGCAGATGGCCGTAAAGTTCTACGATCAAGCATAAGAGAATTCCTTTGCAGTGAAGCAATGTTTCATCTTGGAATACCCACAACCAGAGCTGGGACATGTGTAACTTCTGATTCAGAAGTTATTCGGGATATTTTTTATGATGGAAATCCAAAGAAAGAAAAATGTACAGTTGTCCTGAGAATAGCCCCAACTTTTATTAGGTAAACATGCTGGTTGGATTTAAATCAAGTATTACTTGTAGCTTATATAGGTTTTAGATCAGTAGCAGATAATTCTTTAAGCACCTGGAATGTTTGTGTGCTATGATTGTAAATACTTAGCTATGGATCTCTTTGGCTTTCATTTATTGTCAGAGAAAACAGGATATTCATTAGTCTGTAACGGCTTTATTTGCACTAGCTAATTTTTTGGGGGTTCTCCTGAATCAAATCTCAAAACTCAGAAATTGCATTTTATCCTGTGTAAACCTAAAAGTTCAAAGATGCCTTCTGAGTAGAACAATAGTTGGATGTTTGATTCTGGAAAGACCATTAAATTACATGTATAACAAGTATATCTCAATTAACAAAATTAATTTGTTCCCAGACATGGCTTGCTTAACAGAAATGTTGGTACCAGACATGAAAATACATGTAAAGACTAGGGATAGATTCCTACGGAGCAAACAAAAACAACAGTCAAATATGTTTCAGCAAGTGAGCAAAAACATTTGAAATTTTAGAGAGACCACTTGATATCTTCTTACAAAATTCATCCTAGAATCCTTGCATTATTTTAAAAGCTTCTAGTTTTTATATTATTCTATTCTGATGGCAAAACAGAATTTGCTAAGATATAGCTCCTTTCATCTCAAGATAGCACTTGCTACGCATGATGAGGGCTGTAGGACATGTACAGTAGAGTCTCGCTTATCTAACATAAACAGGCTGGCAGAAAGTTGGATATGCAAAAATGTCTGATAATAAGGAGGGCTTAAGGCAAAGCTTATTAAATGTCACATTACGTTACAATTTTACAAATTAAGCACCAAAACATCATGTTTTACAACAAATTGACAGAAAAAGCAGTTCAGTACATGGTAACATTATGTAGTAATTACTGTATTTACGAATTTAGCATCAAAACATCTCAATGTATTGAAACAGCTGTGGATCCGGGCGGGAGGCAGACTGCAATGGATAATACAGAATGTTGGATGAGCTGGATCAGATTGGTAAACAGTATGGTAGACTGTATTTTAGAGAAAGAAATTTACAAAACGATTCCTAGCCTCAGCAAATTCTAGGAAATGCATTGGGTCATCATAAGTCAACAGGTGATGTAAGGAACATATACACTATAAATAAATAGTTCTTTTATTTTAAACAGGTTTGGATCATTTGAAATTTTTAAACCTGCTGATGAATATACAGGACGCAAAGGCCCCAGTGTTAATAGAAATGACATCCGAATACAAATGCTTGATTATGTAATCAGTACTTTCTATCCAGAGATCCTTGAAGCACATCCGGACAATAAAGTTGAGCGGAATGCTGCTTTTTTCCGTGAGGTAAGACACTTCATATCTGATAATTTACATGTTTCATAGGTTTTACCTTCTTTTTACCCACATTCACATTTGTGATTATGGTTTAAAATGAAGACTCCTCCCAAAGCATGCTGTAGCCCTAGTACTTTAGCAGAGATTTCTATCCTCATTATCCACATTCAAACCTGTTGATATAGGTGCCCTTTGTGTCTCAATTCCTAAACTTTTAACAACAATATTTTTTTGTTTTGTTGTATGAACAGTGGCACAAGTTACTGTTCTATAAGGATTTAAGGGGGGTTTTAGGAATTGTTTTTTAAGTAAACACAAATAGGGTTCATGGTGTGTAATTGTATTTAAGGTTCTCCTGGCCCTATTTTAAGCTCAGTAAATGCAGGCAGCAATTGTCCTCATGTAGAAAAAACATTCACTTACCACAATAAATGTTTAATTTGCTAAATGACTCCTTTTCACTATATTTCATTTCTACCTCTGGTCAAAAACTAGTGTGATCTGAAATTGTCTAAGTTTAACAATGTACGAATTTGTTATACAGTTCTTAAAAATAGGGTCATCATTGCAATTGACAATTTTGATGTTTAGTGACCAAAACAACAGAGTTCAAAATGCAGTTGACAGCACCACCCTGTACAAGGATAATTTCACCAAAAAAAGAGAAATGGTCATTAGGTTTTGAAACTGAGGGAACCATAGAAAAGGCTGTGCATTAATCAATGAATAGTGACAGATGCTCAGTATACATTTCTGTAACTGTTTATAATAAAGTAATACAGCATGAGTGTCAACATATATATTATAGCTTGAACTCCTTTTTTAAAAAATTAAGATAACACGACGGACAGCAAGGATGGTTGCTGACTGGCAGTGTGTTGGATTTTGCCATGGTGTGCTCAACACTGATAATATGAGCATAGTTGGAGTCACAATCGACTATGGACCATTTGGATTTATGGACAGGTTAGTGTAGTTTCTTAATTAAAACATATGTATGACTATCTAGACTATACAACAGGCAGGAGCAAACTTTTTGACATGGGCCGCATTGCATTTTAAAATATGAGTCTCTTTTTTTAGAGACAAAAAGCAAGCTAATAATAAGAATAAAAATAAGAGTGGTGAAAGAAATCACTAAAATATCCTACATTTCATTTTTAAAAATAATTAAATATTTTAATTTTTGTCTATAAATATTTGATTGTATTATTATTTTTGATCTGTGGTTAGTTGCACTCACCAATACAGGGATTCCATTTTAATCTTAAAACACTTAATTTTCAAATAGTTTCTAAAGTATCAATTTATTGATTATAATATGTTTATTCAGTCATGTAAGCTAAAACCTTGGGCTGAATGTTTCTATTTTCTAGGTATGATCCTGAACATATTTGCAATGGTTCTGATAACACAGGACGCTATGCTTATAACAAACAACCAGAAGTTTGTAAGTGGAATCTAGGCAAACTTGCTGAAGCCTTAGTTCCAGAACTTCCATTGGAGATCAGCATACCCATTCTGGAGGAAGAGTACGATGCGGAATTTGGGAAACATTATTTGCAGATTATGAGAAAGAAGCTAGGATTGATCCAGCTTCAGTTAGCTGAAGATGATAAATTGGTTTCTGACTTCTTAGAAACTATGCAAGTCACAGGTTAGTGTGGATCTATATTCAGAAATGTATTATTAATTTGCATATCCGCATAAAATATAATAGTAGAAAATAATGGTACATATATTCAGTATATGTTGTAGAAAGTTAAATAACAAATGGTGTGACTGAATGTAAAGTTCTTAATCTGTTTTACAGGTGCAGATTTTACAAACACTTTCCACTTGCTGAGCTCTTTTCCAGTAGAGTCAGATCCTTTAAAACTAGAAGACTTCTTAGACAAGATTTCAAATCAGTGTTCATCTTTAGAAGAACTTAAAGTTGCTTACAGACCTCAGATGGATCCCAGGTATATTGTTCTGTTGCCAGATACAAAGTAAAAATGCTTTGTTTTCAGGATTTATATTTATGTCCGTTTGTGGGTGGGGAAAAGTTGATGAATTGTCAAGGTATGTTTTGGACAGTCTTGAGTTGTGAACAGAGCAATAACAGCTCACTAGTTTTCTTTCTATTCTGATAACAGTGTAATGGGGCTGTTCTAGTAAGACTATCTGTTTTCATATTTTATTAGATGTCTTGGGCTACTTCATTTTAGAGGGGAAAGACAGGATATTTTTATATAAATACAATGAGATTTTATTTATTTATTTATTTCCTATATTTATACCCTGCCTTTCTCTCTCTCTCCCCCCCCCCCCCCCCCCCCCCCCCCCCCCCGGGGTACTCAAAGGGGGACTTTTTAGCTAGTTCAGTCAGTAGAAAGTGGATAGGATTGAAGTGAATCAGCAAAACATTTTAATAAAGTGGAGAGTAATGGATTCCAGTTTTAAAACTTATTGTGCCATTTAAGTTATTACTCACAAGTTAGGATTCAAATTGCCTGTCATTTGGAGATCTATTAGAATAACATCAAAGTTAGCTGCTTGTCGTGGTTAAAATATACAAAGTGCCGTATCTGCTTGCTTCTGTTCAAAATACCTATAGAGGTTAAAAACATCAATGCCATAGAAGTACTGTACAGTATTTCACTGTTCAGTTCAGTAACTTGTAACTTTTAATTGATAATACTTAATTGCTATCAATATCATTTCCTTTTTTGTTCCTCTTCCTTTTCTAGGCAACTTTCAATGATGCTGATGTTAGCACAGTCTAACCCACAACTGTTTGCCCTAATCGGAACAAAATCCAATATAAATAAAGAATTGGAACGCATAGAACAGTTTTCTAAGCTGCAGCAGTTAACAGCATCTGAATTACTAAGTAGAAATAAAGGACACTGGAAAGATTGGTTACAGAAATACAAGTGAGTATGACTAATGCATTCTATTTTAGTGGGAATCTTTAAAAAAGTATATTAGTATATTATCTATTCATGAATCTGTTTCATGAAATGCAAGTAATATTTTATTCATATTTCCTTCTACGACTACACATAAAACCTAATGTTTTATACTGCAGCATTTGTTATGGTCAAATCTTTCTCTTACTAGTTGTGATGTCTCGGCCTAGTATTATTTCCTTGTTGTCTGTTGGACTGTTCCATTTTGCCAAGTTTAGAGTAGGAGTTTAGGATTCCCCTAGAGGCCGAGCTCAGTTGGTTCAGCCCATTCTGGCTCAGAGCTTGGCAGAAAGACTTTTTGGCTCCATTCCTTTTGATCATAGTTTATAGATAGTTGCCAGAAGAGTGTCTGGTCTGGCTTGCAGTCCGTACAGGCCATCCTTATCACGTATTTGCCAAAGCTTATAGATAGATAGTTATAGATAGATAGTTCATAGATAATATATATTTACCTTAGGGTATTTGTAATAAAGAATAGATAATATTTGCCAAAGTTTATAGATTTTAGAGTAGTTATATTTACCTCATAGAATAGTTATAGTCATAAATTCCCCATAGTTTATAGTTATATTTACCTCATAGAAATTATAGTAGTTTGTTACCTCAGAGTTTATATTTCACTGTTCTAACACCATCATAATCAAACTATAATTTTATACCTTGATTGTTCAGTAAACAATTGTTGATTAATTTAATCTTGTTTTTAGAGTATCATTTTTGGGGGCATTATAGTAATTAGGGCATACCGATGGTCACTGGGAAAATAGCCAGGCACATTTAGTTTTCTCCTTAAACTTCCCAGTGTGCCATCATACTAGTCTTATTTGATTGGAAGTGTTTCTCCTCAATGTTTCTCCTTGTAAAGTAGTCTATACTATTCAGTAAGGTAAGTTCTCATGGATGAAATCTTAGTATTATAGTAGAGATATTTATAGTAGGGTGTACTGAAGATTCTTTAATTCAGGTCTTCCTAATTTTTTTCAACTCACAACCCCTGTTTGTCATAGAAATGTATATAAGTCAAACTTTAACTAATAGTAAACCATAAATGTATTTTAAACCTATTTTGGCAACTTCTCTTCTCCTCAGCACAAATAATTCACAGGGAAATAAACTCCATAACAGTGTCTTCATGGGCAGATATGTCAGTTGAGGCATTAAGGAAGGGAAGAGTGTGAAGCACAAAATAAGAAGGAAAGCCCCCCTCCCCGTCACCCAAGATGGGAAGGAAATAAAAGATCCCATATATTCTCAAGAGGGGGGAGAAGCTCTCAAGTTGGGAAGGGAAGAAAACGTCCTCAGACTTCCCAAGATGGGAATGAAAGGAAAAAAGCCCCATGCCCCAGATGAAATGGAAAGGAAGCCCCTCCCAACACCACCCCCTCCCCAAAAACACACTCACAAGCTAGGAAGGGAGGGATAGGCCACAAGACCCGTAGGAAGGGAAGGAAAGGCACAAACAAACACACAGGCTTTTCTACCTCAGAAGCCTCAAGGCCAGGATCTCCACAAAGTCCTCTTTTTCTCCTTGTCCTCCTCTCCTTTCTTTCTCTAAAGCAAGCATCTTTCATCAGATTAGTATCTGAATGTGTAAATTACTCAGCATTTCTTTAAGTACTAACAGAATCAATGTCTCAGGATTAGCCATAGGTGTCACTGTAACTGGGCTGTAATAGAGTGCTTAGACTGTTGTATATAAGTTTGTAGTAACCCAATGAGTTTTTGATGAGAGTTGAAGTTTCTGGATGAAGATAGGAGAAAGACAGATTGTAGATACTGTAAATATTGTGTGTTACTGAAACTTAAGAAATAAAAGCCTTCCAGTTGGAACGAACAGATTTGTGCCTGTATATTGTTTTTGTTTCTGAAGAGACCACTTCACTACAATAAGATATTTGGCTCCCTAACAGAAGTGAAGAGTCCCTTCTGCTATGCAACAGGGAATTTTATGCTGATTTGAACCCCTGGCAATTAGACTGTCATAATTTTGCTTCTGATTTTGTTTTCAGAGCTCGACTTGAAAAAGAAATGGAACATGTTAGCAGTGTTGATACCTGGCATGCTGAACACGTAAAAATTATGAATTCAAACAATCCAAAATATATTTTAAGAAACTACATTGCTCAAAATGCAATAGAGGCAGCTGAAAATGGTGACTTCATGGAGGTAAGTAGTGCTGTTGGGGTTTATAGTATAAATCCAGTAAATTTATTCAAATAAAGATTGAAGGATCCAGAGGTCAAATATCAATAAGAAAAGAAATCATCAGTAAAACAAATAAAAGTTCAGTGTTTGCTAGAACGTGTTCTACATCTTCCTTCCCAGGTTGAGAAAGTCTTAAAACGCTTAGAAAAGCCCTATGAAGAATGTTACAGTGAAGTCATGGAGGAAACTGAAGAAGAAGTAGAAGAAGATGTCGCTGCTGCTGCTGCGTCTGTGGCTTGCAGTTCAACCACCCGACGGAGAGTGCCATATAGCAGTAAACCTCCCCTCTGGGCTTCTGAACTTTGTGTTACATGATCATCGTAACAGCCTTGTTGGTATTTTCCACAAAGAGGTCAATCTAGTGGAGAGTGCAGCGAGGCACCACAGAAGTGCTATTAGCTCTCAAACAGACAGTTTGGATATATTCACAGTATCACCTGAGCCATGTTCATTTTATGAGATGACAATCAGCTGATCTGGAGACAGACCAAAGTTTTAATCTTCCCATCATGCACAAAGTGCTTTTATATTTTTACGCACAATGCTCTGCGAATGTCCAAGCAAAGTCTGTGTTTTTGAAGACAAAAATAGAAAACCAGCTGCTGGCTGTATTTTTGTCTGAAAATGAATTAATAGTACTTCTTACGTTTATAACACTTTTCTTATGCAGGGATATTTTGATTCTCGGTGAGGATGAATTTAAACACACCATTGCTTATTTGAAGCTATGTTTCATTTAATTATGTAGTTCATTTATTGTGAACTTTCACCTTTATATCATGTTTTTAGATAGGTCAATGGGGAAGCAATAGCAATAATGTGTATTACAACTAGAGAATGTTGGCAATTAGTATAAAATGAGTTTCAAGCTAACTGGTTTGTATAAACGGCTTATTTTCAGATGAGCATAAAGATGTATATGACCCTGAAGACATATCTCCTGTGCTTGTGGTTCAGGGCTGAATCTATATTTTGGCATTTTTGCATGCTATTCCTGTCACTGGATCAGTAATAGTGATAATATCAAGGGATATTCACTGTTTGTGTCACCAGCTACTTGCTGAACATTTAAAATAACTAAATTTTGCTGTCTTTCCTTTGGTCGAAAAAAGAAAAAAAATCTGTTGCAGTCTGGGGGTGATCAGACATCACTATAAGCTAGAAGTGTGGCTCAGTGTGACCAGGGCAGCTTCTTGATTTGTGCAGCCCACTTGGTTCCTGTCTATGTGGGAACGGCCAAGTAATGCTTATTGTCTAAATCTGGTACTCTGTCATGCTTCTTTCCTGACCGGCCAGTTAAATTGGTAGTAAACCAGAGTTTGGCCATCCCAGTAAGCAGACCATAGGCGTGTGTGTTCTTGCTTGCCACAGGAGCATTCAAGCTGTGTACTTGCATAGGCTGCTCATAAACAATGAATGAAACTTTATTTGTAGCCCACTCTATCTCCCCGAAGGGACTCGGGGTGGCTTACAACAAAACACACAATGGCCAACATTCAATGCCAAACAATAATATATAAACAAATAAAAAACAACTCAATAAATTGTAAAACAACTTAAGTAAACAAAATGTAATACAATACACATAATTACAAACATATTAAATCCTTAAAATCTCATTAAAATTTCTAAAATTAGACTCAAATTTTTGGAGTGGGGTGATAAACAACATATAAATATATCAACATTAAAACTAATAACACATTTAAAAGCAGACAAAAATTAACAAGAGCAATAAGATCAATACAATATGGCAATAGCCATTGATCAAAATATATATACAATCAATTTATCCTTCATTGGCAGCAATAAAATGAGAGAAGCATTGGGGCAAAGAAAAACATCCAAGCACCCTCCCCCCCCCCCCCAAGCCACATAAGTCAACGGTAGAATATTCAAGTCAGAAAATGAACCATTTTTATTCCCTCCTCATCACCATCACAGGTAATGCAGGATCTTGGCCAGGGCCAGGTTGGGCTCCTAGAGGATGCTCTGCCCAACCAGGAAGGTCAGCTTATGCGTGTATTGGCAGGGCGCCAGCACACGGATCAGGCCCAGCCAGTTGTAATACATATGGCATAGGCGCTGCATGTGGTCTGGCTTCAGGGCACTGCTATCATAAATCATGTTATAATGCGTTGGTGCAACAGTCTCACATTTCATTAACTGATTCGCAATGAAGAAATCATACCATTGTGGCAGCTCCAGCTCATTCATTCATAAACAATAAGCCATTATGTCAAACCTAGCCAATTATGGAATATAACGGTGCAATTTAAAATTGTATTTCTCCCAACTGGACTGTTCTGTCAAATTGTGCTTAGCATTTAAACAAGGTCTTGCCCATTCGGATTTTGTACATTCTCATACTTGCACCTTCTGCAGCCAACTATTTCCTATGTTTCATTTGCACTACCTCAAGAAATTTTTCTTCATGCTTTTTTTTCATGTCACGAGCAACTTGAGAAACTTCAAGTCGCCTCTGGTGTGAGAGAATTGGCTGTCTGTAAGGACATTGCCCAGGGGATGCCCAGATGTTTTGATGTTTTACCATCTTTGTAGGAGGCTTCTCTCACGTGGGGAGCCGGAGCTGACAGAGGGAGCTCCTCCGTGCTCTCCCTGAATTCGAACCTACAAAAAAAAATTGAATAGCATTTTGACACTAGAAAATAGCTTGCTTATTATGCATGTATCTCAGTCTGAAATATCATAAACATAATTATTTTCTAGATTGGGAAAGGTGGAATCGTCTCATATTCTCCCATCACTGTACCAAAGAAAGAAGGGAAAAATTGTCCCTTGAAGCTGACTTCTGATTGGTCCTAGTTACCTGGCCAGTTTCTTTTCCTTAAGTAGAGCAGAACTACTTGTCTTTGTCCCTCTACTTTGATTTTAGCCACACCTTTGCTATAGTGTTCTTTTGGATTTTATTCCCCATTTAACAGTCGTGTCCTTGGTCCGTTGCCTTGGTTTGGGTGCAAGACAACTGACATTCCTGTCAGGTTAGAAGATAGTCAATAACAAAGCCCCTGAATTAGACTCTACAAACTATAGAGAGAGCTTGCCTGTGACTAAGGTGAAGTTCTCAGGAGGGCAGAGTTCACTGGTGATTATGGACCTTGTGTCTGCTACAGTGAAAATAATGCAGTAGGCCACCTCTTAGATAACATCGTTCAATTTGCTAGACAAGAGCCCCATGTATTTTGGAACATCAAGATCTCAGAAAGTTTGGTCAAACAGGCCAGGGAGCCCAGTGATAACTCCTTGTCAAATCTACCGAGTTTCACCTCTCCTGGTGTATCTCGCTTGTATCGCCTGCCATTTTTGCTACATTTTAATAACATTCCTCTATGTGCATTTATCAACAAGGACTGGAACAGATGCTGATTTGATTATCAGAACGGCAGCACAATTTGACTGCCAGAGTTCCATAACTTTCACAGCCCCAAGACAACTTGATTTTGGTCACAACAGCAGCCATAATTCAACCCTTGACTTTAGAAGATAGACTAGGTCTTCAACTTTCACAGCTCTTTTTCCATAAATTTCTTCTTCTGTAGTACATCCATTTCCACCTCAGTCTTTGTTTTTAACCTTTCTGCCATCAGAACAGCTTTCAAAACATTAGTGTAGTTCTAGACCAATAAAGATTCCACACCTTCCCATTGTGGTTAGTTTTAAGACCTTGTTTATGATTTGAGACTTCTTTCTGGCAGTGTCTGTGCCTTCTCACTGTAGGTTGTTTCTACAACTAGGTTTTGAAAAGTTGAACAAAGATAAGTGAGCCTGATGGTCATTCAGCTTTCAGCTTCAAGACATTATTTCCCTGTACCATTAGGTGTGGTTGGGTGCCACATGCTTGACATGGATTCTTCCTGTCCTTTCTACAAACCCAAAATATAAATTGACACACAGAGAGATAGATAAATAGATATTCAGTGCATAATTCTTTTCAAATATGTAATAAGAGGTCACTATTTTAATGGGTCAATTCATGGGCTGCTATAGTTGCATTCCTAAGCAATGTTTCTTACAGTACTCTGTTAAACTAAGCAGGATATACCTTTGGGATAACTTATGTTCGTTGATCTGGAAAAACTGGATTTGTGGTGTTGCTTTGACCAGATGTGTCTTTTCTGTTTTAATAATGAATATGTAGATTAGTTGTTTGGAAAGTCAGTGTGGTTGATAATACTCCACCGCACTGATCGCCAGTGTGGCAGATGGTAAGGGGTGCACAGAATTCTGAAAATAAAATAAAAGTTCTTTTTTCCATCTGCTTTTCATTATTAACAGTTTTATTTTTAGCAGGCCTTCTGGTTTCTTATATAGAGATTTGAATAAACAGTGCTCAGGGCAAGTGATGTGGGTGACATGCCTGTTACCTGACAGCCAACTTAGTTTACTTCTTGTTGATTTTTGGCAGTAAATATACACCACATGAATGTTTTAAATGAAGCTTTAAGTGTTGCACTTTATTCTGGAGGGGTGTTGCAAATTTTCCTTATTCTGGATAGATTGGGAGACATGGAAACCATCACCTTGTTTGTTAAAAAATAAATTCTTACCATGTTCATATTAAAACATGTCTCTTTTTATATTATGAAATTCAAGGAATAAGCATGTGCACTATGTATGTGTATTTTTTTCTCTATCCGAACTGGATAACTTTGAAGATCATGGTAACTATTTCAGGATGCAAAAATTGCTGTCTGTTTCACTTCCAGTTTCTCACTATTTTTTAACTCTACCTTTAATTTATTCAAGGATATTTACATGAGATGAGCACTTTGTAAAACAGCAACAACAATTTGAGTTTGTAAGCTTATAAAGAATATATATGAATAGTGGCAGCTCATTTCTTAAATTTGTTTGCTAAGATTTCTAGACCATTAATCACGCTCTTAGCTTCGCCCTGAAATCATTTTTCATTTTTCCTTTATGTCTTCACATGCTCATTTGTATGATTAGGATACTCCCCTGTCTTAATATTTTAGTTTTTCATTCCCAATTTTCACTTTCCTTTTGCACATATGGATTGACACTGCCAGCAACCTTCAGTTCCTAAGAGGGATCATAACAGCAAATTGATACCACATCTGTACAAATTAGTGGACTCACTTTTGTCCGTATTTAAATTCTCCAAACTAGACTTATACCTGAACTTCAGCAAAAAGGAAGAAATATTTGAATTATACAAAAGGCGGTAAATCTGATGCATTTCAATATCAGGCCAACAGGAGAGCCAGCGTGGTGTCGTGGTTTGAACATTGGACTGTGATTCTGAAGAACAGAGTTTGAATCCTTGCCCAGCCATGGAAACCCACTGGGTGATCTTGAGCAAATTTCAGCCTCAAAGGAAGGAACCTCTTTCCAGGAAAATCACATGATAGGGTTGCCATGAATCAGAAACTTTCAAAATATATAATAAAGCTACTCCCAGAGGAAATTTACATGCTTTTGTTATATTAATATTAATGTTTTATGCAAGAAAACATCTTCGATGAGAAATAGGCGAGCTGTTGTACCATAGACCTTCATTTTATTATCCACTCTGCCCTCGGAACAAAAATATCTCCACCTAAAGACGACTAGTGGACCAGATGTGGCCCTCCAAGATCATTCACCCAGCCCCCGCTCTAAACTTTGGTCTTACGATTGCCCTAAATCTGAAATGACTTGAAGGACACAAAAACAATTAATTAAGCTTGACTAACTCATCAGCCAAAGCAGGCCCAGAATAACAACAACAACACGATTTGTAATAATAATAATCTTTATATTTCGCTTTATCTCCCCGGAGAGACTCAGGGCAGATTCCAAACATAAAAGGCAAACATTCAATGCCCAAAAACAACAATACATCCATAATAACGAAATTGACAATCCAATATATAAAAATGAATTATGCTTTAACAACTAAAATAAAAGATGCAACCTGTTATATCAGATATAAGACAAAATATCAAACATTGAACATAAGCATCAATTTCCCAGTTCTTTGGGGGCAAATAGATTGATCATTGCTCAAGATGTCTATTGAGCTGATTGGGGCAAACAGCACGGATATGGATGGTAGCTATTCATCAGAGGTATAATGGTAGTATTACCATCTATTCCTCTTCCTCGTAAGCCAGTGAGCAAAGGTACGTCTTCAGCTGTTTCTTGAAGATGGGAAGGTGGGGGGCATCTTTAACTCCTTAGGAAGGGAGTTCCAGAGGTGGGGGGCAGCCATGGAGAAGACCTTTTCTCTCATTCCCACCAGTCATGCTTGGGACTATTCCACTTTATCTCCCCGGAGGGACTCAGAACGGATTAAAGTACATATAAGGCAAACATTCAATGCCTTTTAACATGAACAGCGACATACAATGCACAGATTGATAGAGGATTTCCACTTTTATCCATTTTTGGTGACTAGAGGTGATGCTCAACTTCTGGACATGGGGAGGTGCTGTTCCATTTTTCCATGCTGAAGGAGCCTGCTAGCTGTAGCCTTCTCCGATCTTTTGCCAGCTTATTTGCATGGGGTGCCCTTTTTACCTTCCCACCAGAGGCAGTACTTATTGATCTACAGTGGTTCCCAACCTGTGGTTTGGGGACAACCAGTGATACGCAAGAATGAAAATATGGTCCGCAGCCTCACCTTTACTACACCATTGCCTGGAAACCACATGGTAACAAGAGCGACTGGTCTTGTGAAACCCTCTTACAGGGATGTCAGAAAAGGAGAGACTGACTACCCACAAAAGATTACTACTACCACATCAGTTCTAGATTATTAAATATGGTTTCTGTGGCTGAGCAGATGGTGACTACTGAATAGCATATGTTTTGTCTTAGAAACTAGAGCCGATGTGGTCTATCCAATGCAATTTTCTGAATCAGCACTTCAAACCAAAAACCATAACCAAACCTAATCTAAAGTTAACCAAAAACAGATTCGTAACCCTTTTGGTACTAATGTTGGAGAAGGGCCCCTGGTCAAGTAGTCCCTGGTCAAAAAAAGGTTTGGAAATCATTTATCTACTCACATTGCATGCTTTCGAACTGCTAGGTAGACAGTCAAGAGCTCATCCTTCACTTCACTTTATTTCTTAATTAGTCGTTCTCCACCAAGGTGCATCCTGACTTGTGGCTTGAACTGTTGACCCTCCAGCAGCAGCCTTTCCTGTAGCTAGTGGCTTTAAACCACAGTGCTACTGTGGCCCCATTGATATACTGGTAAGTTTATGTGGGTTAAAATTGTTCTTCATTTTAAATAGTGAATTGTTTTTTCATATATTTTTTTACTACAAATAAGATATGTGCAGTGAGCATAGGAATTTATTCATGTTTGTTTTCAAACTACAGTCCGCCCAACAAACTGAGGGACCGTGAACTGGCCCTCTGCTTAGAAAGTTTGAGGACCCCTGTTCTAGTCCAACAATATCTGGTGGTCTACATAATTCCTACCCCTACATTGGAGACCATATTAATTGAGAATAAGTTGCCCCATCTAGGTCTAATGTAAAGGGCAAACAGAGAAGATATTTTTATGATTACTTTAAACCTGAATATATTGCTATTTAGATTTAATAATTAAGTACATTTGTTTCTTCAGTCAGTATATGTGATATATATTGATCTTATATTAATAGTAGGAAGATTAATAACTGCATCCTACTAATCCTACTTGACAATGGTGCACATGAATACGTTGACCACAAGTCAATGGCCACTTTCTAATCCTATACATTCTAATCCTATACATGGGCATATAAGTAAATCCCATTTAAATACATTAAGTTTATATTTCAGTAGATGTGTATTTGATTACCCTATAAGATGTTTACATGTGATAGACATTTGACTGTGATTCCAGCAAAGTGACGAGACTTCAAATTTCTATGTTTCAGATCCAAGACGATGGATCTTGAGGCAATTTAAAGAAATTGCTATTCAAAAAAGAAAAAGAAAAAAAAGAACGGACTTTCAAATGCAAAGTGTGATAGAAAACCAGAATTTGCCATTTCAAATGAGAGGGAAGACCTTTGAGGCACACCAACAGCCTTGGCTATGTGGCAGATCCAGATTATCTGGATTCTAATACTTATGAGTGAAAGAAAAAGCACAAAAGAGGAGTGGCAGTGAATCTCACGAAGCCTCAGATTAAGGAAATGGATAAGTTCCTGGATGTGAGATGGCCACATTGAAGAGCCATGATGTCTTGGAAACAGCCATGAGAAGCTCTCAGTGGACCTAGAGGTTGAGAGACTCTGATGAGAATGTCTTTGAACCATAGAATAATAGAGTTAAAAGAAACGACATGGGCCATCTAGTCCAACCTTCTGCCATGCAGGAAAAGCACAATCAAAGCACCCCTGACAGATGGCCATCCAGCCTCTTTCTAAAGTCTCCATGGAAGGAGCTTCCACCACACTCCAAAGCAGAGAGTTCCACTGCTGAACGGCTCTCACAGTCAGGAAGTTCTTCCTAATATTCAGGTGGAATCTCCTCTCCTGTAATTTGAAACCATTGCTCTGAGTCCTAGTGTCCAGGGCAACAGAAAACAAGCCTACTCCCTCTTCCTTATGACAGCCTTTCAAAGGGCTGGAGACTATTCAAAATGGATTTGTCTTACATAACCTAAAGTCCTGGAATTGGGCCATTTGGCCATGGCAGCTTCAGCTCCTCGGAGACGGCACTCTCCTATGTGTTTGCTGTAGATTAGATCTTCAGGATAAAATCTTCAGTAAATATGAAGTACTTTTCGCAAATAATCAGATGACAAGGATCACCAAGATTTGCTTGAGGTTTTTTTTTACACAAACCCCTTGTATAACGTGGCAGAGTCTATAGCACAACGTAATAGACTATGGTTGGTTAGTTGAGAAACTTGCTAAGGGAGGGGTTTCCTGACAACTGGGAGTAGAGATTTTATAAGAACCTACTAACTAGGATGCAATACTAAGAACCTAAGCAGAAAAGCCTAGTGAGAAAGACTTTGCATTTCTGAAGTGAAAGTACAACTGTTAATAACCTCAAGGTAAGCTTTTGGTGGGAGTTGAGGTCCAGGCTCCAAACCGTCTTGATTCTCCGCTACTAGGACAAAAGAGTTGACCATTATTTTAATGCTGAAGAACCACTGGGACAAGGTATAAATCATGTTTTCTGCACCGTTTGCTTTTTGCTAAAGTGTTGTATCCTAGAATTAGGTCAGTTGTGTAAACTGCATATTTCTTTGGAGTCAAAGGACCTTTGTACTGCAGTCAGCTGAAGCAGAGTTAATGCAAAACAGAATAAGCACGCTGAAGAAGGAATGCCAATAAATAAGAACACCCAAATACTGTCCTGTAGAACAAGGCATAGAGAGATAGTTGTATCTGAAATATTCTCAATGTGAAAACATCCATCTCTATACAATAGCTTTGTTCCTCAACCATCAGGCTTTACAGTGAACTCTCAACACATTCTTCAAACGGAATAGTGTTAGAAATTTCATATATATATATATATATATATATATATATATATATATATATGATATTGTTATTAAAATCAATAAAAGGATGCAGGATAGCACATGTATCTGTGTTCAGAGTTTGGAAGAGGTCAAGTATTTTTTAAATGCAGCTATTTAAAAGAAAGTGATGATTCACACAAAAATAGTAACTTAAAATAGGAACTAAAATGAATAATACATCAGGAAGTTTGGAAATAAAGTGATGGACTGATTCTGGACTATGATTTTGAACGTGCATGATCTTAATTGTTGTTTTAACCATTTATGTTTTATTGCTGGTTTTAATTGTTATTATTTTTAATAATAATATTAATATTATTGGAATCTGCTTGTTTGTTTGGCATCAAATTGTTGCCGGTTTTGAGGCCACCTCGAGTCCCTTCGGGGTGTAAAGAGTGGGGTACAAGTATGGGAAATAAATAAATACTTCAGTGTTACCTGTTTTTCTGCAAGCAAGCCTTTGGACAAGAATAAGGGGTACATTACAGTGAATTTGGGGGGATTGTGTGTTTTAAAATGCATTTTAATAGTATTTATTATAGTTTAACTCTATTTTTAACCTAACAAAAACAGCACCATTTATTTTATTTTTTGAGTTTTTTATTTGTTTTTTTTTTTTTAAAATTGACCTAAGTGTGGTTGTTAGCCACTTGAGTCCCCTTGGGCGAAAACTGAGATATAAACACAGCTGTTGTTGTTGTTGTTGTTGTTGTTGTTAATGTGGCTTGGATAGGAATTTATGGACATAGCAAGATGGCAAAATATTTTTAGTTGGAAATATATAGTGCTTTCAGTATAAGGTAAGAGATCGATAGCAAAATGTTAAGAGAGGGTGAATTGTCTAGAGAAGCATGAATATAGGTTGGGGACATAACCAGTGAGAATATGGAATTCTTAAGTAATCAAATATGGTATTAGGTTCTGAAGGAAGGAAGCTTAAAAGAATCTACCATATCTACTCATGTATAAGTCACCCTCATGTTTAAGTCTAGGGTAGGTCTTGGGACCAAAATTATGGATTGTGATATCACCCGTGGATAAGTTAAGAGTTGTTCCAGAAAGACGGAAAAGCACAATGCTGCCTTAAGGGCCATCTGCCAACACCTCCAGTTCCCCACCCAGGCATTCAAAAAGGCCAAAAGTCATGCAACGAAGAGAGAATAGAGGGTGTTTTCTTTTAGGTTCTCCTGAGATGAACTACACTCTCATCTTTTGCCATTCTACTCAGAGGAGGGTGTGGTCCTTTTTTAAATAAGATATGGTATTTACAATGATAAGTCTAGCCAATTTTTGGGTTGATTTTTTTGACCTATACATGAGTATATTGGATAAATAATATTAGATTTTGTTTCTCCTGTCAAAGAGTTTTCACCACTGCTAGTCTTCTGGGAGGTATGTGTTGCCTGCTTCGGATTCTGCTGCACTGTCCCATGGCCAATCCATTTCATCATCATTATTATTAGTCCTAATAACCCACAATAAACTTTGATTACAATATTCCTGTGAATGATCACACCATCAATGAGATTAAAATATACTAAGTAATGCTAAGAAAGATGAAGATAGTAGGAAAATTGAGATAGATTGACCCAACCCCGAGATCTGAACAGAGCTGCTAAAAACAGGATCTCTTGGAGGGTTCTCATTCATAGAATTGCATGAGTTTGAAACCGATTTGGCAGCACATAGCAACAACCATAACTGTGTGACTTAGTTATTATTTTTGTTATTCTGCCATCCTGAACAAATACCAATTTAATATGATGAAATTCATAATCAATTGCATTAATGACCAATTTCATATGAGTTTGGTAGTTAAAATGGTTGGACTTGATTAATACTATAAGGGAATATCTGATTTCTAGATAGGGTTACAAAAGAATTGCCTGAAATCCTGGTGAAATGTTATCTTACCAGTTGAAGTTGACAATCCTGGTCTAAGTGACCCGATGATTAGACTCAGTCTAAGGTAGCTTCATGTGTTCCTGCAACTAAAAATACCAAGGGCCTCTGTATATATATGTAAACACTTGTCAGGCTGTACAGTTGTGATGTTCTGTTGTGTTCTAATCAATGGTCTAACACTGAGTCCTACAGTGCAATTATATTAGTTTAATTGAGTATTTGTTGGATGGGTTGTTAAAATCAAGTACGAATTGCAAGTCATGGAATGCAGTAGTTTGGAGAATGTTTATGCTGTACTGTTCTTGACATTTCAGCTATAAGAATGAACCGGTGTTTCCAGTTCAAGATCATTGCGCTGTGTCTGTGTATCCTGGGTATTCAGCAATGCTTAATAAAGGTAACGAACAAATACACTGATCCTTTAGTTGGAGGACAAAGGCACACATTCCTTTACTGACATGTCACTTACTTGGCTGAGCCCATGCTTTCCTTGGCAGCACTAGTTCTGTAACAAAGCAATAAATGTCAGTTGGAAAAAAATTCTTCCATCTCTATCCAAGCCACAAGAGATATAAAGTTTGTTTAAGCTTAAGATACTAAGCTGCTCTCAAGTAAGGAAGATAGCTGTCTCACCATCATTGTGGACACAAGGCTTGGCTTCCAAGATCCTTTGGTTTTGTGCCTTTGACAGGAGAGGGCAAACTATATTAATCATTACCTTTGTAGGATCACACCTAAGACCCCATCGGCACTGCTATATAATGCAGTATAACTGCATTGTGCTGCATGATATGGCAGTGCAGACTCATATAATTTGGTTTGATGCAGTTGAACTACATTCTGAAATGGCATTGTGTGGCAGTGCAGATGGGATCTAAGTTATTTAGCAGACTGTTAAGGGCCCATCCAGACAGTATCTTTATTGTGGTATCTACCATAATAATGGAGGGGCTATCCAGACTACATTTTGGACAGTCCCGAATTAATTCTCTACAAACCAGGAAAACCCTGGTTTGTAGCAAATTAATCAGATAGTGGGTTTATTCTGCGCCTTCTTGAAAGGCACAGGATAAACCCACTATTTCCGATTCTGGAGTGCAGAATACTGCAGTCCAGACAGTATTCCCACAGTTTTCCAGGCTAAATTAGCCCGGAAAACTGTGGAAATTCCAACCTCCTCCCCCAAAGCCCCCCTAAACTGAGTGAAAAAAGAAAAAAACTCACCCAGCCTCTCAGGGATGGCTGCCAGAGTTCTTCTGGTGTGCACAAATAACCCTCCCCCTTTCTCATGGCACATCATTTGTATGCACCAGGAGAACTCTGGCAACCATCCCTGGGAGGCCAGGTGAGTTCTTTTCTTTTTTCACTCAGTTTAGGGGGGCTTCTGGGGAGGGGGTTTAATCCCCCGATGTTATACTGTGAAGTCCCAGTACAACATCTGGACACCCACTCCAGAAAGCACACTTTCTGGGGTGGATGTAGACAGCCTCCCAGAAACACCCGTGTTTTTTAAACTCAGATGCTACTGGGATAAAAGGCTGTCTGGATCCACCCTCAGTTTTTTGTGGAAGTAAAGTGAGCTGGGAGCAGGTTACTGTGTATTAATGGTTTTCAGTTGCTCAAGAACTGCTTAGATAAGGATTTGATTAATTGCTGCTGGGCTGTAAATCATCTAAATAAATTAATCAATACAAATTTATTTACAGGCAGAACCACAGGTACTTGATGAAGGTAAATATATATATTATATCTTTCACTCTGAAGCCTTTTCTAATTAGCACTTGGTCACAGGCTTTTGAAAATTACTAAACGAATACGCCACCTTGTTAGCGAAGAAGACAAAACCAACTGTTGTTTTGATCCTATCATGATTTACTAGAAAACAAAATAAAGCTTGGAAAGGTGGAAGGCAGTAGGAAAAAATAGAAGATAATGTTCTTGAATAATAAACTCAATCAAAGGAGCCACAGCCCTGAGTTGGCAATAATAATAATAATAATAATAATAATAATAATAATAATAATAATCTATACAAATAAAATTTAATGTTCGTTTGTGGGATTAACATAACTCAAAAACCACTGGGCAAATTGACACCAAATTTGGACACAATACAACTATCAGGCCAACGAGTGACCATTACTCATAAAAACACTGAAAAACACAGTGGAAGAGACTTAAAAAGCCAGAAAAGAAAACTTTACAATGCATGCACAAAACCGCATATATATACATATGCACAAATATATACATACACATATATACACACACAAAACATATATGCACAGACTGGGACACAGCAACATGTGGCAGGGGATGGCTAGTAATTAATAATAATAATAAACTTTATTTGCATTTGTATTCCCTTCAGGAATCCACCCTGAAGGGACTCAGGGTGGATTCCAACATAACAACGACAAATATTCAATGCCTGCATAAAACACACAATATTGACATAAAATCCCAGAAAACCCCCACATATGAAAGTAACATTAAAACCTAATATCAAATTAAAGCCTAACATCGGTAAATTAAACCCAACCTCATTAAATTAAACTACACGTAGTCAGACAAAATTCTGTAATAACATAAAATCTAAACAAAAAATCCACATTAGTTACAACAGCCAGAAAGGGTTCACCAATGGTGGGTTGGTTATGTAGTCAAATGAGGTCATTGGGCTGGCATGGACCAGGAAAGCCCAAATACAAATAGTTCTCGACCAGAAGCTCAACAGTGATCTCTCAACCATCTAATCCTCCTCCTCTCCATATGCTAGTCACCTCCAAGGTGACTTGGAGATCTCTCAGTCATTTGCAGAATGAGAGTAAAGCTGTACAGGGAGCAAAATGGGTAAGATGCATTCTCTCAAACCCTCAAAGTTGGCTAGCCTCACCATTGCAAGAGGCCATCATGTTGTTTGTCAAAAAGAGTGGGAAAGAGGAAGTTACAACATTGTCAACTCTTTAATTTGGAGCAGAATGTGACAGGACAAGGCAGTCATATTTAAACTCTGGTTCTGATCTGGTTGACACATAATCAATGTCCAGATCATACTCCCCTTGATCTGTTGCCCAGGTAACAGCTGGAACCTGGTTGCATTTTTTCCATTACAAGAAAAAACCCACCTTAGTAAGCCTCAGAGATTGGGCTGGCATGGACCAGGAAAGCCCAGAGTCCACTGGGAAAAGGATAACCTTTCCAAATTCATCTCTCTGTCCTGCTTCCTTTTTATGTACAGGACAAAAAAAAATCCCCATGCATGTTCTGTAAGTCATTAATATGGGAGAACACCAACCAAAATGATTAAGCTATCTGTTATGCCAGAGCTCTCCAAACTGTGTTGTGACATTTTAGTGTAGTGTTTCTCAGCCTGGAGGTCGGGTCATGAGGGGAGTGTCAGAGGGGTCGCTAAAGACCATCAGAAAACACCATATTTTCTGTTGGTCATGGGGGCTCTGTGTTGGAAGTTTGGCCCAATTCTATCATTGGTGTGGTTCAGAATGCTCTTTGATTAGAGAGGAACTGTAAATCCCAGCAACTACAATTCCCAAATGTCAAGGTCTATTTTCCCTAAACTCCACCAGTGTTTGCATTTGGGCATATTGAGTATTCATGTCAAGTTTGGTTCAAATCCATCATTGTTTGAGTCCACAGTGCTCTCTGGATGTCGGTGAACTTCCACTCCAAAACTCAAGGTCATTGATCACCAAACCCTTCCCATATTTACTGTGTGCCAAGTTCAATCCCATCAATGGTTGAGTTCATAATGCCCTTTGATCGTAGGTGAACTATAAATCCCAGCAACTACAACTCCCAAATGACAAAATCAAACCCTCCCAACCCAACTAGCATTCATATTTGGGTATTTGTGCCAAATTTAGTCCAGTTCATAAAAATACATCCTGCATATCAGATATTTACATTACGATTCATAGTAGTAGCAAAGTTACAGTTATGAAGTAGCAATGAAAATAATTTTATGGTTTGGGGTCACCACAACATGAGGAACTGTATTAAGGGGTCGAGGCATTAGGAAGGTTGAGAAACACTGCTTTAGTATCAGCTGCAGTGTGTAAGTGAGAATGAGAAATGACAAAAATATTGGAAATGTATGTTATCTTACAAATCATTTTTTTTAAAATATAAATGAAAAGTTTTCATGAGGTATGTTGTATTCCCCATAGATTTTGTTACAGTATAGTCTCGCGTATCCAACCTTCACTCATCCAACGTTCTGTATTATCCAATGCAGTCTGCCTCCCGCCTGGATCCACAGCTGTTTCAATACATTGTGATGTCTAGGTGCTAAATTCGTAAATACTGTAATTACTACATAACGTTACCATGTATTGAACTGCTTTTTCTGTCAATTTGTTGTAAAACATGATGTTTTGGTGCTTAATTTGTAAAATCATTTGACGTTTAATAGGCTTTTCCTTAATCCCTCATTATCCAACATTTTCACTTATCCAACGTTCTGCTGGCCCGTTTATGTTGGATAAGCGAGACTCTACTGTATTTTAATTTACATATATGCCCATATGGAACGGTTGAAGATATGAACAAGAAAACATAGTTTTTGTAATTTTTATTATTCATTGCTTTTATGGTTTTTAAATGTATTGTGATGTTTTTGCTTTTTACTGATGTATATATTTTTCTATATGGCATCTCATTGTTGCTGACTTGTATGCCGCCCTAAGTCTCCTTCGGGCTGATATGGGCGGGATACAAATGTTGTAAATAAATAAACACCAATGGTTTGGAAAGCTCTGTTTTACACTGAATTGTATTCTGAAATTATCTTTACCATTTCTCTTTCTCTAAAGGACATGATTGTACAAAAATATTTGCCGAAGGTTCTTACACCAGCAACGGACCTTCCTTGGTCAAACCAATTAAGTCACTTCCTCCTTTCTTGGTAAGGCAGAGTTTCACAATTACACTTGAAGTTCCTCTTTGGGCTTTCTTATGAACAAGAGGGGAAACTGTCCTTGGTATGACCATGCAGAGATCTCTGGAAGTTATTCTGGGGAGGATGATTTTGATAAAGAGAGAGGAAAAGTGCTTGTCAAGTTTAGTTCTTCCTAAAAGTTTGTGTATAAGTAGTAGGGGTGTACATCCTCTATTCTGTCCTCACTTATAGGACAACTAATTACTGCAATTTTTCCAGACCTCACTTTCTGTATGAGAATTGGAATTTTTTTAATTGGCTTGTTATGGAACAAAGATCAGAGAGAAAGCTTCACTGGAGACACTTTTTCCCATGATAACACATTCAGGAGTGAATTTCCCTTCCAAGGGGAAGATTTCTCGCACTTCCTGTTGTCTCACCTCTGTTCTTAACTATGAGACATTTGTAAGACGGATGTTTTTAACTTGGGGACTGCCTGTACAATATGTTAGCATATATTTATCCTACTTCTTGGCCATGAAAACCCACTTTGTGCGTGTTGCATGCCCTCAGCCTCCGAAATTCTGTGATCGCCAAAAACGATTTAATAACCAAAAATATACATGATCCGAATCTGTAAGATAAGGGAAATTAACCATTAGGTTGGGCATAGAATGATATAGAAAATCTGAGAAGAACAACAATATGATGGCTTTTATAGGCCTTCTGTGAGAGTCGAGCAGATGGGGGATGGACTGTGATCCAACGACGCAATGGGAGAGGTGCTGATGGCAACCCTGTGAGATTTTACAGACCATGGCTTGACTACAAAAATGGATTTGGAGATGTTAACTGTAAGTAAATTTTTCTTCTAGCATTATACTAACCAGGTGTGTGCTAGTTTTGCTATCAAATTATGTTTTTTTAAAATTTATTATTTTGTATTAACCACCCAGGGTTTGTATCTCATCTGGAGGGGAGGGCAAGAAAGAGAAACATTAATAGCAGTTTAATGTATATGGGCATAGTCAAAAGGAGACTCAAACATGAGAAAAGCGTGATTATTCTTAAGGTAATCTGAACAAGCTTCTGGTGCGTCAGTGAATCCACACTGTTGAATTGATGCAATTTGAAACCACTTTAACTGCCATGACTGAACTCTATGGAATTTTGAGAGTGGTAAAGCACTAGCACTATTAGGCATAGAAAACTAAAATCTTTCCAAATGACAGTTACCATGATTAAACTCCATTGAGTCATGGCAGATATAGTGGTGTCAAACTGCATTATTTCTTCATTGTAAATGCATGACATGAACCTTGTGGGTTGGTAAGTAAGAGTAAAGGTTTTCCCTTGACATCAAATCTAGTTGTGTCCGACTCTGGAGAGTGGTGCTCATCTCCATTTTTAAGCCAAAGAGCCAGCATTGTGCATAGACACCTCCAAGGTCATGTGGCTAGCAGGACTGCATGGAGCGCTCTTACCTTCCTGACAGAGCAGGACCTATTGATCTTACTCATATTTGCATGTTTTCAAACTGCTAGGTTGGCAAAAGCTGGTGCAAACAGTGGGGGATCCCCTGGCTCCCCAGATTTGAACCGCTGATCTTTCAGTTAGCAAATTCAGCAGCTCAGCGGTTTAACCCGCTGCACCACTGGGGGCTACCTTGCGGGTTGGTAAAATGATCTTTTAAAAAGATGAACTTTTTTCTCATACCTGACTGCACAAAACATCCTCCTACATTCTTCAAAAACTCTGCAAAATTTGGAAAATAAGACAGAAAATCTGATCAAATTGCAATTGGAAGTAACATGATCTAAATTCTGCTTGTGTCATATATATCATTTGGAAAAAATCCAAAAAAATTGAATTCCAAACTCTTGAAAAAGCAGGCAGGTCATAGTGTACATACAAAAGTATAGGGAGAGTGTGTGAATGTCATGTTTGGTCCTAGTTGTTGTTGTTTCCAACCCATGGTGACCCTATCACCATGGGTTGGCCCAGGGTCACCCAGTCAGTTTCCATGACTGAGCAAGGATTCGAACCTTAGTCTCCAGAGTTGTTGTTTAACACTAAAACTACTAAACAATGCCAACTATTAGCTAAGGCCACTTTTTATTCTTTGTTGTGCTAGCCTGATATTGTCTGTTCTGATCCTGCCTGATATATTTTAAATCAGAAATGCCAGGAATCGAACCCCAGAATATAGCTGGGAAGCCGAAACCCAGTGGCTCTGAAGAGTGCTGCACCATATCATTGTAGTCAAGATCCATGTATCCGAGTGTATAAAAATCACAGGAGTGTTTATTCCCCATCCCCCAGATGAACATTGGTTGGGGCTTGACTACATCTATGCGCTGACCCACCAGGAAGGTAAAACTTGTCAGCTTCGAGTGGACATGGTTGACTGCCAAAACCAGCAGGGTTATGCCCTCTATGACAACTTCAGCATTGACAGTGAGAAGGACCTTTATCGCCTCCATTTGGGAAAGTATGAAGGAAACAGAGGTAAGAGATTCCTCCGCTAGCTATGCAAAATGTCAGCACTCCAGATTGTTGTGGAAAGTGACAAATAACACATCCCTTTCAGCTATGCAAATATTGATTCAAAGACTTAGATGTGTTAGTCTAGATCTGGATGCATGTTTGAAAGAATTTGGTAGCATAAGCATAAGCTGAGGAGTGAGGTTGGATGGGCCTTAAGAAGCATTGCTGATAACAAAACAGCAGAAGACGACGGGATCCCAGCTGAACTGTTTAAAATCTTGAAAGAGGATGCTGTCAAGGCGATGCATGCCATATGGCAGCAAGTATGGAAAACACAAGAATGGCCATCAGATTGGGGGAAAAAAACAACTTATATCCCCATATCAAAAAAGGGAAATGCTAACGAATGCTCAAACATTCGTACAGTGGCCCTTATTTCAAGTGCCAGTAAGGTAATGCTCAAGATCCTGCAAGGAAGACTCCAGCAATACACGGAGAATTGCCAGATGTACAAGCTGGGTTTAGAAAAGGCAGAGGAACGAGAGACCAAATTCCCAATATCTACTGGATAATGAGAAAAGGCAGGAAGTTTCAGAAAAAACATTTATTTCTGTTTTATTGACTATTCTAAAGTCTTTGACTGTGTGGGTCAAAGATCTTTTGGAGTTGAAGGGGCTGGGGGTGGCCCTGGCCAACAGGGAGGTCTGGTGTGGGTTGGCCCATGAAGTCATGAAGAGTCTGAAGCGATTGAATGAATAAACAACAAAGCTTTCATAGAGTTCTGGGTGCAGCTACACCAGTGGTTCCCAAACCTTTTTTTTTTTACAAGGGACCACTTGACCCGGGACCACTCTCCAACTTTAGTACCAAAAGGGTTATGAATCTGTTTTTGGTCAACTTTAGATTCGGTTTTGTTATTTGGGATGCTGATTCAAAACATTGCATTGGATAGACCTCATCAGCTCTCGTTTCTGATACTGCCCTCTAGCAGTCACCATCTGCTCACCCATAGAAAACCATATTTAATAATTGAGAGCTGACATTGTCTATCCAATGCAACTTTCTGAATCGGAACCCCAAATAACCCCAGGAACAGGTCTAAAAACGAAAACACCAAGGTGCTCCCACTTCCAGCTTCCACTTGGAATGGCTCCACTCAGAGGGAGGGAAGAGAAGCAGCAGTCAGGAGGCTTGTTGTCACGCCTTTCATAGGTACTCAGACTCTCCTATAAGAGGGTTGCTCTCGTTGCGACAGTGTAGTAACAGTGAGGCCAGAGATCATATTTTAGTTCTTGGGGACACTGGTGGTCCAGGGACCACAGGTTGGGAACCACTGATCTACACTGTAGAATGAATGCAGTTTAGAGTTTAGGGTTATGGAATCCTGGAATTCGTAGTTTGGTGAGATGCCAGCACTCTGTGGCAGAGAAAGCTAAAACCTTGTCAAACTACAACTCTAATAATAATAATAATAATAATAATAATAATAATAATAATAATAATAATAATAATAATGAGGGAAGTCAGTAGTAGTAAACTGCTTCAAGTGCAAAAGACAAAGAGGGAATACTGTAAAAACACAATCCAGAGCAGAAGAGAAAACTGGCAAAAGAAGGCACTCCATGGACAGTTCCTGGGAAAATTGAGAGCCAAATTGACAAAACATGGCTGTGGCTCACAAATGGGACTTTGAAAAAGGAGACGGAGGGCCTGATTCTGGCAGCCCAAGGACAAGCCATTAGAACCAATGCCATCAAAGCCAAAATTGAAAAGTCGACAACAGATCCCAAATGTAGACTCTGCAAGGAAGCAGATGAAACAATAAATCACATCCTCAGCTGCTGCAAGAAGATTGCGCAGACAGACTACAAGCAGAGGCATAACATAAAATCGAACTACAAAGACTCTGGCACAAACCAGTAAAGGTGGTCCCAGTGGTGATCAGCACATGGTACAGTACCTAAAAACCTTGGCCTGCACTTAAACACAATTGGTGCTGACAAAATTACCATCTGCCATCTGCAGAAGGCCACCTTACTGGGATCTGCACACATTATTCGCCGATAACTCACACAGTCCTAGACACTTGGGAAGTGTCCGACGTGTGATCCAATTCAACAGCCAGCAGGGTGTCTGCTGTGGACTCATCTTGTTGTGTTTCAAATAACTATAATAATAATAATAATCATCATCATCATCTTGTGATTTTGTGATACGAAACCAACATATATCTCTTTGCTGTGACATACTGTATTTTTGTGTCAGTAAAATAATAATATACAAAATGTGGGCTTTAACTGCAGAAAAGCCTGCCTGCCTGTGCACCCAGTGATGCTCTGATGTGATGAAGCCACTTCACCTGCTCCAGTTTGATCAAGGTGATGTCAAGAGTCTCAAATCCCTTGTCCTTTCCTTTGTTTAGGAGATGCCTTCCGGGCAAATGCATATTCAAAGGAACAAGATGGCTATCCATTCAGTACATACGACAATGACAACGACGGCTGCAACCCATGCATAGGGGGAGACATAGCCTTTAATAATTGCGCAGAAAGCAAAACCTCTGGATGGTGGTACAGCGACTGCGGCCTGTCGGATCTCAATGGGGATTGGCACAACCAAGCTCAGTGCATAGGCTGGGCTTCTGCGGTGTACTGGGAGACATGGAGTAGTTACCGTTCATTATTGTCTACTGAGCTGAAGGTGAAATGCACCTAAAATGGGAGAGTGCTTGGAAAGTGTTCTCTGTTTAGATTTCCAAATCATCACAAATCTGAAGGAGGAAGGCCATACTATGTGAATAAATATGAAATTCAACGTAAGATGGTTGGCAATGCTTTCCAACAAATTGCTATATATCCACTATGCAGTTAATCACTTTTAATTGATATTAAAAAAATAAACTGAAATGATGAAGCAAATAAAGTTTTTCGATTTTGTTTACTGAATATTGACTGCTTTTTAGCACAAGTTACTCTCACATCTATTTCTTTCCCCAGGTTCTCCTGACAATAATATTATAACTTGTCTCATAACATAGTGAACTAAACCTACAAAAGAGATTTAGAGGAAAAGAAAGAAGGGCATTTTAGTTTTGCGGTTTATTGCTCACACATTTACAAGAGAGGTTTACACAATTTACACATTAACAAATTTACACTTCTGTATGGACACTGGGCAACATGCTTTCCTGCACCAGGAAGGACAATAGGAACTTCTGTCATGCGATGGAGAAAAAAGAAGTATCTTCCTAGATGTAAATGGGATCTTCTGGGGATCCAGTCTCTCTGTCAGTGTTTCTAAAAAAAAGCTTCCTGTTTTAGAAGCATTATTGAATTTTTCAACAAGCCAAGACCATTAAATAGCAGAATTGAACCATAAAATGCTGAATCCATTCTATCATAGGTTTGTGCTGTATTATACAAACTCAGTTATCTTTATAGTAGTTATTAAAGTTGATTCGTAATAGGAAATCTTCCAGGTGAGGCTGGTATCCTCTGTTGACCAACTTGGTTACAACTGCAGGGAGGACAAGGAAAAAGGAAGTTCAGAACATTTACAGTCCAGCTTTCAGTTGGTGCAAAATTAATACCTATTCTGAAATGCAAAATGTATGCAATTCAGCCTACTCCAAGTCTCCTTCTGGAAAAATACAGTGGTCACATGCTTGTCAAAGTACCCTAACTGCTGAACTTACTTTAGCTCTTCTAGTATAATTCCACTTAATGGAGCAAAGTCTAACATGGGACCTCAGCATTTTTCTGCAAGTCTTTTTGGTATCTAAATGTGTAGGTTTTAAATGAATGTTATTTCACTTGATAAGATCCCAAAATGCTTTGCTTCACCAAATGCTTCATTCAACCAAGTACAGTATTGTTGGGCAAGTGAGCTTATTAACAAAAGACCCTCCTCATAAATGTACAGCAGAGTAACTTAGCAGCAGCAGTGTGACCCAGCACCAGTAGCCACAAGTGCTAAAAAGAACAAAAACACACAGACCAATGTTATCTCTTCCATAGGAGGCTTTTTTTTACTAAAATAATATGGTTGCACTATTTAAAAGAACTAGGCTTCTATAACACAAATAAACAAATACATAGTAGCTTTACACGCATCAGGCTCCACACTGGAGCTTTCTCACACAAGGCTTCTCTCACACAGAGGTTTACCTCACTCTTCTCAGGAAGACACTAGCTTTGGCCTACTGACTCTAACAGGCTTCGGCCTACGAACTCTTTCAGTACTTGACTCACGGGAGCGGGGTACAGGGAGTGTACAATGCCCTTGCTTCGTCAGCTCCACTGGCTGCCTATTAGCTTCCGGGCTTGATTCAAAGTGTTGGTGCTAACCTATAACGCCCTAAATGGTTCCGACCCAGTTTACCTGTCCGAACGTATCTCTCTCTACAAACCATCTAGGATGTTAAGATCATCTGGAGAGGCCCTGCTCTCGGTCCCATCACAGTCGCGTTTGGTGGGGACGAGAGACAGGGCTTTCTCCATGGTGGCCCCTCGGTTGTGGAACTTCCTCCCCAGAGAGGTTAGATCTGCCCCCTCCTTCCTGACCTTCCGGAAGAAACTTAAATCCTGGTTATGGGATCAAGTGTTCACATAATAATTTATTTTACTGGGTAATACAAGATTTTATTGGACCGTACTTGGACTGCTTTAGACGAAGATTTTAATTCTGGTGATTTTAATCTGACGAGTGAGTTTTAATGTATGTTTATGATTATTTTAATTGTATGGCTGTACTTATTATGTGTTTCACATTATGCTTGGCAGTGGATGTTGCCAGTTTGGAAGCCGTTCTGAGTCCCTCCTCAGAGGTTGAGAAGGATGGGGCATAACTGTTTTAAATAAAAAATAAATATTTTTTGTAATAAAAATACCCAGTTCGTTTTTAATATTTCTGATAAGTATTGCTTTGGTTGGGCAATTAATCTGAAATAATGTAAGTAAACTTCCTAGTCTGCTGTTCAAGGTCAGATTATTTTCTCAAGAGCTGCTCTTGCCAGTAAAGATCACACAACGGCAACAACAACAATAGCAGTCAGCCTTAGACATCAGACAGCTATGAAAGCACTGTTATGCAAGACTGCCTGGAATGCGAAGTCATGGTTTCAATGCAACAAGTAGATACAGAAAAAAAATACCAGGCTATGGAGACATAATCAAATCATCATGGTGCTTTGCACTATGAAAGAAAAGCATAAACATGTATACTAACTAGTGCCTTTATAATACTATGCAAAGTGCATTTATCTTTCCATTGCATGGCATGTTCTTAGCAAGCTCTGGTCTTACCATCAAATAAGAAGTGGGAATAATATTTGAAGGTGTTATAGGATTGCTGCATCAAGCCAAAGTTGGGGTGAACGGCCATTTGTTTGCTGGTATCAAAACTCCACGACTGAGAGATCAGCTGGCTGCGGAACTTTAAAATGAAGCTGAAGATGCTGTGGATGATGTTCATCACAGGAGCCGCCTTTTCTGTCAGCAAGCCCCTGTCAAAAGGAAAACATATTATTACCTGGAAAGTGGGGCTACAAGTCTTTTCCTGGGGCAGCAAATATTTAAATTGTTGTCCCTCCTCACCCACAACGTTGTTGTCTCATTAACCGACACTTCTGAAGTTTGCTGGAATAATTTTGGAATTGAGAAACTCTCATGCTAAAAAAACAACTGCTTGCCTTCTCCTGTCATGTAGGAGAAGGCAAACTTACCCAAAAGTCTATTGCTCTGGGGAAAGTCTAGGAGGTCCAGATATCATTAACATACCTTATGCTACCATTCATACACACACTTACTTATTAAGGTTTTAATTAGCTGAATTCAGAACTATGTAAAACGTGTTTTTCCTGATATTGTTAGTCTGTGTGGTTCCCCATGTTATGGCATAAACAAAGTTGTGAATGATGGATGCTATATTCCAAGAACATCTGGAGGACCACACAATCTTCAGATTTTGCTTAGTGGGATCTCATTCAACATATCAGTTTCGAAGACATTTCTTTCTACTCTTTCCTTTTCTTCATTTCAGTTTTTTCCATGCATTCCTACTCTTTCTGTCCAAATGTTTACTGTGTATTCCACTCCCATCTAATTCCATTTCTTTCTGCTCTTTATCACCACATTAGCATGTTGGTAGCTAGAAACTAAATCATAACTTAGGTTGCATTTCTTAAACTAGTCACACAAACCAAAGGGTTTACAGCCTCAAAGTGTGTCCATCACAACAAATGCATAGACTAATATTGGAAAAGCATCAAATGAACCATTTCCAGGCAAACAAAAACAGCAAATTAAGAACTACAATATTCTTTTTCAAATCCCAACAGCACAAAGTAAGTTTCTTCATTTTTCATGCACAACATCTGACATGTATAAGCATGTATTTTAAAGCTGCCTGTCATTTTCCCATGAATTTTATAGGGTTTCACAGGCAAGGAATACTTAGAGGTTATTTTTTCCAGTTCCTTCCTTTGAACTCCTACTGTTAGCCCCAGCTTTTGCTAACCTAGCAGTTTGAAAACATGCAAATGTGAGTAGATCAATAGGTACCGCTTTGGCCGGAAGGTAACAGTGCTCCATGCAGTCATGCTGGCCACATAACTTTGGAGGTGTCTACGGAAAAAACCGGCACTTTGGCTTAGAAATGGAGATGAGCACCAACCCCCAGAGTTGGACACAACTAGACTTAAAACCTTTATCTTTACCTTTTCCCTTCCTTTGAAACATACCCTAAGGCAACTGGTACTTGGTGGCTGTGTTGGTGTTCTCCCCTCCAAGTACAAACCCATGCTGATCCTGCTTAGCTTTCAAGATCAGACGGGATCTGTTATCTTTAGGGTATCTGACATAACTGTCAATATTTTGAAAAGTGGGAAGCATCAAGGAATCCAAATGAGCCCTTTGCCTCCCTCTGCTGGGCACTCAAGTAATGACAATTATGTTGGAAGGAGTTTGAAAGTGCTTCATACTCCCCGTTCTCTAAACTTTTATCAAGGGGCTTTATCACACTAGAGAATGAATCCACTTTAAATTTAGTTGCTGACTTCTGCAGAATTCTGGGGTTTGGAGTTTAGGGAGGAGCCTTTAACAGCCTCGCCAAACTACAAACCCCAGAATTCTGAAGGAGGCAGAAACCGGATTTTAAGTGAATTTATTCAAGTTGATAGTTTTAAACACATCTAATTTCTGTCTCTGAAACAATCCTAACGTGGGATCTATTATCTCCTCTCACTATATACATGACACTGACATTGAAATCAGCACCAAAGGCGAAGACAGAGATCCATATTTATTGTAGGCTGGAATCCTCTATGGCAGAGATTCTTAAACCTTTCTACTCAGGACTCCTTTATTAGTTACTACTTAATGTTATTAGGTATTAACTAATAACATTAATTAATAACAAACCACATTCGCCAGGCTTACCAAACAGGCTGATTTCCTGATGAAGCATCTTCTGATTCGGGTAAATGTCGAAGCTACCAGGTGACATTCAGAAAACTTTTATTGTTGCCATTTTTTTCAGGACCCCAATGTTGAGCTAAGGAAACCTCATATGGGGTCAGGACACAGTTTAAGAAACAGTGTTCAATGGCAGTTATAAATTTATAACTAGAGTTATGGAGTCATGGTGTATTTACAAGCCCAACGTAATCCCTTTTTTTCATGTCAGGAGCGACTTGAGAAACTGCAAGTCGCTTCTGGTGTGAGAGAATTGGCCATCTGCAAGGACATTGCCCAGGGGACGCCCGGATGTTTTGAAGTTTTACCATCCTTGTGGGAGGCTTCTCTCATGTCCCCGCATGGGAAGCTAGAGCTGACAGAGGGAGCTCACCCATGCTCTCCCTGGATTCGAATCTGCGACCTGTCGATCTTCTGTCCTGCCGGCACAAGAGTTTAACCCATTGCACCACTGGGGGCTCCAGGGTATTCCCTAAACCTATGCAGCTGTCTTGAAAGTTTCCCCAATCTCGACTTCCCAGTGTGAGTTTGGAAGGGACTCCCTTTGAGAACAGTGGGGGCTGTAGAGCACATGTGTCAAACTCAAGGTCTGCAGGCTGAATCCAGCCCTCATGTCATTTTATGTGGCCCTTAGGATGCTGGTGGGGTTCACAGTGTCACTCCCATCATCCTGGGTCAAACCTCCCCCACCCCAAAAAAAAAATCCCTGCCAGTAGTTTAAGTTGGCCATATTGAGTAAGCCAAGGATTCACTGAATAGCACATAACTTATACATATGTATCACTAATACAGAATATCTGGCAAATCTTTATAATCTTCTGTATTGCATAGAACAATATCCTTACCGGAAAATTGCTTTGTTGAGGTATTCTGCATGTGTTTTGTAAATGTCTTCCAAGTTCCCAACCGAAGACAGTTTGTTTCGAAACTCGCACCAGGTCACGTGCAAGATCTGGTTCGCAATATAACCCTGAATCACTTTGACAAAGTGCTGCATTTCATGCTTATAAAGCTGGAGCTGCCGAAATTGAACGGAATTTGATGCATGTTTCACTAGGGCTGAAAAAGAAAGAAATGACTAGCAGCACAGGAAAAAAATACTACTGCTGAATTTAAGGTCACATTGTCACATTAATTTGGAACCAAATTAATTTTTCCAAAACAGTTTGTGTAAACTCACATGCACTGGCCTCAATCCAACCTCACATCAATGTAGTATAAACATCTGCAGGTGGACCTACACTACACAAACAGTGTTCACCTTCTATTATGCTGAGCTGAATATAACTGAGTTAGATTGTTCTCATGGAATACAAATACAAGAGACACCTGGTCAATGCAGACATAACTTGCTTATCTGAACAGGTGGGACTCTAAACTAGATAAATTAAAAAAAAAATCTGAATTATCTTACCAGTTCGCTTTAAATGGAACCAAACATCCTTAAGTGTCCACACCATATGCTTCAGTTGCAGCAAGAAGGAGAAAATTTTGTTATATTTGTTCATGCAGTTGTCAGTAATGACAATATTTAAGGGCCAATCCACCTTAAAAAAGAATAATTGAAATATATGTCAGAAATATTAAAAATTAACTAGATATTTTTAATTTCAAAAATATGAGTCAAGCAGTGAAAGGATTAAATGGATGCAATGACTCAGCAAAAACTGGAGTGTATTGGTAGCTTAGTAGGCCTCTGTGTTAGTTTGCCTCAGTGGAAGAAAGATCTCAGTCTGTGACAGAAGGCCTCACAGTGTGAGGTAGCCTTAGTCTGTGAGAGAAGCCTCTGTGTGAGTGTCACGAAAATATTGCAGATTTGATCAATGTGGATGTAATATGATATGTGGTAATGAATGGAAGAATGTATGGCTGGAGCTAATAATTTTGGAAACACCAGTAAAAGACCAGGTCTGAAATGACTAACTACCTGCTTGCTGGACTGTAGTTAAAAGTTGCTAATAAGAACTGAAAAGTAAACTGTGACAATGATTCTTTCAAATTATGGAAATGTTTGCAACGTTCCTTTTGTTTAGAAGGAAGTCAGCACAAGCCTTGTGTTTGTCAACACCAACCAATCAAGAAGAGTCAACATCTGGCCAGGAAACTGAGATGGAGGCAGGATGGAAGACGTCTATCATTAATTTACAACTTTGGGGCTACATCAGCAGAATATTCCTATAAAAGACTCAATCTAATAAGCTCAAATTGTGACAGACCTGAGGAATCTGGTTCATCCACCTCTCTGCTCCATGGGAAGGACAGAGATGGTGTATTCGGAAAGTGGCAGATTTGCAAGGGAGCAGTGTGGTTACTTTGGGGCTTCTTTCTCAAAGGAAGAGGAAGAAGTGTGCTTTTGGAGTCTTAGATTTTGTGCAGGGAGTCAGGTTCTGCTGTATGGAAAACAGAGATCTGGTCCTTGGCATTGTGCTTAGGGAAAGGATGCATTTTGAAGTTTTGGCATTATGGAAGTTTAGGAACTATGAATTGGCAGGCTGCAGGAAAGCAGGATCTGGCCTAACAGATGCTTCTCTAAGGAGGGAGAAAAGGATATGGTAATATTTGGATGCATGATGATGAACACATGTACATGTGTGTGAATGGTGACTAAAATGTAATTTTCCGTTGTTTGTTGGTTAGCCGTGTAATTGTGAATCCAATGTAGTTACACAGAATCTGTATGTCTAAATGTTTTTCTGTATACCCTCTCACACTGGAAATTGCAATAAAAAGAACCTATGCTTTAAAGTTATTGAAAAGTTATTCATGACATGAGGTATGAGAAGACCTTGTGTATGAAGCTCCAGTGTGAAGATTGAACTTTATTTCTATCATGGAAACCTTGTTCTTGTAAATAGTGTAACCATATTATTTTGCTATGAAGATAAGCCTCCTATGGAAGAGATAATACTGGTCTCTGGCTCTACATTTATGAGGAGGGTCTTTTGTCAACAAGTTCACTCGCCCAACAATATGTGTTACTGTTGCATGTAGCCCTATCATTAGAAAATTTCAATGGCTTTAAGGTAAGGATTTGGAAACTAATACTTTCTAAAAAAAAGACACACAATGCTTTCATAAGTAGCAATAGAGGATGATTGGGATAGATCAGTTCCGATCAATAAAGTTTATCCATGAATTCTCACCTTATATCGTAATTCTAAACAGTTTAGGGCATCGGGAGCATTAGGTTTGAACATCTCTGGGAGGTATTTCAGGGCAAAAGAAAGATTGGAAGCCAAGTGAGTATCTCCATGAAGACTGTACTGCAGTGCCTTATTTAATATTGAATTGAGAACTAGTGGGTTTAGAAGTTCACCAGGTGTCTGGCCTGAACCAAGCTGGAATGGGAAAACATGGTATCAGAGACAGAGAATACATTAGCACAATAACATCTGCAGAAATACTTGACACTAAATGCCAGATGAAGCAGAATTCTCCTGTGTTTGATGACACAGGCACAGGGTAACGTTATTACTTCCTGTCATAGAAACCGGAAGCAAGTTGAGAGGAAAAATCTTAAGAAAATACCTTTTCAAAAAGTAAATCACTGAGTGACTGGGCAAATTCTCCATCTTCCATCAGCAAAAAATGCCTTAAGGCTCCAAAATGCTTCTCAACATTCAGCTCCACAAAGTAGTAGTCGACAATGGCTTTGTTCACCAGGGAAACACTAGGAGCAAATGAAAACATGCACCTTGGAACTTTATACAAATTGAATGGAAAAGTCCATCAATTAACTCCTTGTTAAAGGCCAAAAAATGTATATCACTACAGAGAAGCAAATTAAATCTGAGATAAAGATTGCATTTTGAATCTTAGGCTGGATCTACATTATCTTATATCCCAGGATCAGATTATCTGCTTTGAACTGGATTTTATGAGTCTACCCTGCCAGGTAATCTGGGATAAGCAGATAATCTAGGATCAAATCTGGGAACATAGGGCAGTGTAGATCCAGCCTTATTTCATATTATGCTCTAAATCTGACTTTAGTCCCAACTACCAGAATAGACCCACTGAATCAATGGGAACGTTTGTCTCAGGTATTTCAGTATGTGTACGTTTTAATAAATGCTTTTATGGTTGCTTTTAAACTATATTTTAATATGTGATTTTATAGATGTACATAACTATGTTTTGCTCCTCCTCGAGCCTAAAGGAAAGGCGGGTAATAAATACATCATTGTTATCATATTTACTCAATTGTAGTGTGTCATTGACTATAATGCACATCTGAGTTTTCAAAACCTTGCAACTGAAAAAAAAGTATGTGCTGCCAATGCAATGAACAGCAGCAAAAAGTTCACTCTTTGTAATTTGACCCAAAAGATATATGTTACAGCTGCTGTGCATTTAGAATGCTTTCTTTAAAAACAAAAGTATTCGAATACCTCCAAAGGTATTAGAAATACCTCTAGAGAAGGAAGGAGACTTCACCATGTCCAAAGGTAGCATATTCAATTGCTAAACAGCATGGCTCCCCTCTTATTTATTTATTTATTTATTTATTTATTTATTTATTTATTTACTGCATTTGTTGACCGCCGCTCTCAGCCCTGGGGCGACTCGCGGCGGTGTACAACATCTTTTCTCTCCCTCTGTGTGTCTTATCACACCAGAGCTGAAAGAGTAGGCAAGGAGTCTGCATTCCATCTGAAATCCTGTGAACTGTAGCTTAGGGAGCCAGAGAGGTCCTGGATCTCATTAAATTGTTCATGTTTTTTGCACTAGAAATAAGATATGTGTAGAGTGCACTGGATTTCGTTCATGTTTTTTCAAATTATAGTTCAGCCCCCAACAGTCTGAGGGACTTAAACATTTGAGGAGCCCTGCTCTAAGGCATCTACTCTAAGGCTTTTAAAAGCAGGATGCACTAAGGAGGTCAAGCAGAGAGTAATAAGTCCTTCATCAAATAAGCATTGAGATACTTTCTCACTTCTTTAAAATTACTTGCAAATAATTTTCTTTGTTATTAAGAAAAATCAACAACAGTTATTACATAACTCAACAAAAAAATTTTTTTGGTGTTGGTTGTAAGGCCTGCTCCTTGGATTATTAGGGTGCTAATTCGGAAATTGCATTGGACAGCCCATGAGATGTCTCTTTGGCATGAACATGTCCTAATTTTATGTCATCATGAGGGGATGCTGGACTGCCTTCCTGTTGGAGCAAGGAACCCCACAGAATCAATGTCCATGCTCTTGCTTTGAGGAAATGGTAATGATTTATTAACTGGTCTTGGGTCTATCTCCACCCACAACACAGTCCATACTTAAACATTGAAAGGTAACTGATTGTTCCTAAAGCAGCCAGTCGTGGATAATTTCTGAGAAGAATAAATTAGTGCTTTCTGATGAGAACAGATGACAGTTGTCCTTGCTATTTATGTGAAACAGTTGAAGTTTGATAAGAAAAGTTAACTAAGTGAATGATATTGAATGTAAGACTCAAGACTGTAACAAAACACACAAATGTAACCATAAGCGTTGGAGCCAGAAGCTAAAAATAAACTTTGTTACTTAGTTTATTACAAGAGTGTCTCAAGCCTGTAATATAAAAGCCTCAAGGTAAAAGCTCACAAGGAAGCCCCAGCCAATTTAAAAAGGGAAAATACAAGGCAGTAAAAAGATTTAAAAGAAAATATCTTTCCCCCCACATCGTCACACGTAAAAAGACACCTGAAAAAGGACTGAAATAGCGAAATGTCATCACTCCCACCCTCATAAAACTAACATAAAAATGGCTACCCTCAAGCTGTGGGTGAGTCTGCCTAACAAAAGAAACCGGTACTTACACAATTCCAGCACAGCCAACATCAGCTCTAGTTTCTTAGATACGGTTATCATGGTTCTCTATGAGTGAGCTGGTAATGTGGTATGTGTTCTGTATCCCAAAAACTAGAGCCAATAGAGGAAAACCTGTGCCATTTTTGGAAACAGCAGGGCAAATATATCCAGAAACAAGTCTAACATTTGAGGCACCAAAATGTGTATTGGTCAGTGTAATGATGTTTTATAAGAAGCACTGCAATTTGTCATTCTAGAATGATTGGTTTGTGGATCAACTTCTTAGGCATAGCTTTCTTGATGGCAAAAACAACTGAGGAAGAAACACAATTTGAAATGAACAGAAAGATGTTTCATTTCAAAAAAAGAAATCTAGTCCAGATTGCTGAATCAGTTTGCATGTGTTGCTTCAAGACTCCATGAACTACTTCAACTGATCACCAATACAATACTAAGATACGACATATGGTGAATGCTGAGAGCTGACATGGTGCAGCTGTTGGACTACAACTCTGGCAACCAATATTCAAATCCTTGCTCAATTATGAAACGCACTGAAGAAATCACACTCTCATCCTCAGTGGTCAACCTTTTAAAAAATCTTGCCAAGAAAACCCCATCAGGGTCTCCGTAGGTCGGAAATGTCCTGACGGTATGCAACAACAACTAGTGAACATTCTTCTCTTAAGACACAGAAAGTGAAAAGATTTTGAAACACCATATTACTTACTGAGAAACCAAGGGAGCAGTAACAGACCGTTTCATCAGCACTGGCAGAGACAAGAGCTCACTGAGCTGTACAGCAGTTTCATCAGTTGCTGACTGTGCCGATGGCTCCATGGGGAACGTGAAGGATCGCGGGATGACATGATGCAGGAGATGGGAAACTGGAAGCTCTGCTACATGGGAGCAAAGGAATATCTCCATTGATTTCCTCTTAAGGTTACTGGTTGCTCTTTTTAAAGAACTTCCAAACAACATCTATCTAAATCAGAGCTTCATAAACTGTGGATCTCAACCCCAAAGCTCAGGGTTGTGATCACAAAAATGTGGCGGCAGTAAAAGGTTACTGAATGCCACCCATTTACACAAATCTGTTAGCAACAATGTGTAGTGTTGACCATGGACTCTGCAGAAAACGCTTCAGCTGTGCTCCATAAAAAGGAAAATCAGCCTGGGTTGCTGTGAGTTTTCTAGGCTGTAAGGCCATGTTCCAGAAGCATTCTCTCCTGATGTTTCACCCACATCTATGGCAGGCATCCTCAGAGGTAGACCCTCAACCTCTGAGGATATCTGCCATAGATTTGAGCAAAACGTAAGGACAGAATGCTTTTGGAACATGGCCATACAACCCAGAAAACTCACAGCAACCCAGTGATTCCAGCCATGAAAGCCATCAACAAGCTTTGCAAATATTTTACTCAGTTTACAATCTATATATGGATTGTCAGGAGGCAATTAGATTAATAATGATGAGAACGGAAGTATGCACACAAGTATACTGTACTGTAGGCTTTAGCCAGTAATAGATGGAGCAAAACTTTCCACCTTCTTCCCACAATAGTTCTACAATAAACTGGTAGTTAAATGTAATTCTACTAATTGACTAGATGAGATTAACTCTTTGGACCGATTTTTGGAATGATCTCTATGTAGCTTGGTAATGTAATGTGTGCTGCATCCACTTGAGAAGCAGACCACCGCCCTTCCATTTTCTTCTAGAGACACAACCACATGTTACTCTAAACATATGGGAACTGCAACTTGGGTAGCATTTAAGTGAGATTGTTTGGACACACTGCCTGAATCCCAGTTATGGAAAACTCCTAGGTAGCTATCACAGTGGTTAAAGGGACTCTGGAGTAGATTATAAGACTGGTGGGCGAGGGCGTGTGGCTGCCACTGGACTCCACTTCTGCAGTTCCTCAAAGCCCTCCAAGTCTTTAAAAATATTTTCAGTAATGTTTGAATGGAAACTATGCAGAATATGAAAACATGGAAACACACAGATACCACCCTCACAATCAGCCACTTTCCCTCAAATGCCTCCATTTTCTCTGTAGCTCCTCTCAAAATAATGACAGAAAGTGGTGAGATGTGACTTCTTCTCACTACATTTAAAGGCACTGAAGATAAAAGGGAAGTATTTGGGCTTGCTGTGGATCGATGTGGCCCACAGCAGACTATACTGCCATATAATCCAGTTTCAGAATGCAGATTACCATATATACTCAAGTATAAACTGAGTTCTTCAGCCCTTTTTTAGGCTGAAAAAGCCTCCCTCAGTCTATACTTGAATCAAAGTTGTTTACTATTTATTCTCTTAATATTTTTATTACATTTATTCTTTTTGTCTATTTATTATTATTATTACATTGATTATTTTATCCTATTTATTATTACATTGATTATTTTACTCTATCAACATTGTTATTACATTTCCATTATTTTACTCTATTATTATTACATTTATTATTATTATTACTTTTACTCTATTATTATTATTATTACTACATTTATTATTTTACTCTTTTTATTATTGGAAGGATACGTAAGCACATTTACACTGAAGAAGGTTAGAATAATGGTTTAATCAGAGTTGGACAGTCTCATCTTAAATTACACTTTTATGTAAATATTAAAAAAATTTAACCTACTTATGCCTCAATTAATGTAATTTTATTGGTATCTATTTTTATTTTGAAATTTACCAGTAGCTACTGCATTTCCCACCCTCGGCTTATACTGAAGTCAATACGTTTTCCCAGGTTTTTTTGTGGTAAAATCAGGTGTCTTGGCTTGTACTCAGGTAGGCTTATACTCGAGTATATACAGTGACTGCTTTGAACTGGATTACGCAAGTCTATGCTACCATATAACCCAGTTCAATGCAGTTAATCCACATCCACCGCTATAGTATTTTAGACAAACACACATATTATTCCTCTTGAGTGTAACTAACTGTTATATGCTCCTTATGTTCCCCACTTTGAGAACACTCACACATCAAATCATAGTTGTCTTGATATTCTTCCAGACAATACTGATCAGACAACGTTTTCAAATAATCTTCCTCCTTCTTCCACATGGCAACAGCAGCGTTCTCTCCTTCTTGACTTTCAGATGTACTGGCGTTGGAAATGCAAATTTCCTGAGTTACGAGAACCAATTCTGTTGATTTCTCAGTGTCTTCTCCCTGAAGGAAAAAAAAACTACCAAGTATTAATCTACCACCTAGATTTGAAATATTTCAGTATCAGCTTTTATCTGCCTAAATTATAAGGCAGTTCACAGTTGAATAAAAATATGGAGCCTACTCAACAATAGAGCTTAAGAGAGAAATTACAAGACAACGGTAGTGGTGGATTATTTTCCCCATTTCAACCCCACTTTTCTGCTTGATAATTTTTATATCACTCTTGGGTATATAGAATAATCAGCATTTGCAAGGCTTGCTGAACAGGCTGAATTTCCTTTTTATGAAACAATTTCTGTAGAGTCCTCTGTAAACTCTTCACATTGTTGCTAACAGATTTGTGTAAATGGTTCAGAAATCTTTTACTTTTGCCTAATTTTTTGCGACCCCAACACTGATTTAAGAGAACCGCATTTGGGGTCAGGACGGACCCACAGTTTTAGAAGCAGTGGCTTAGAGCATCACTGTCCACATTCATGCCAAAATTTCCCCCATCACTATTCACTTGCCCAGGAGAGAACTCTTTGCCCAGAAGTGAGGTAGATCATGCAGAGTTGTCAGGATAACCTTTCAGATTTCAAAGTTGGAATGAAGATTGTGTAGCCTGTTATGCTTCTCCACTTTCTGTGTAATTTCTGAATCCACTATTTCCCCAAACCCCGCATTTTGTCCCTTTCATAGTGTACCCCACATTTTAGGGGGGTTTTCTGTGAGCAAACTCTAGGAACTGTTTAAACTGCCATATGTATACAGGCAGAGTTGATAAAAATTACAGTACTTTTCAATGAGTTCCCCATATCCCCTAACCTTGGGGATTTGGGGGAATACAACTCCTAACAGGTACATTTCCAAAACTCTTGTCTATGAATCACTATATTACTTGGTTCCCTTCCTCCAGCCTTACTGAAGCTACCTTAAGCCCGTATTTTGTGTTTTCAGCTAAGAGGCTTGTGACTCAATGAAATTCCACACCTCCACAACTGTCTACTCCCACCTTTCCATCTGGCAGCTCTATTACACTATGACAAAGGGCAGGGATGACACAGCACTGATTTGGATATTCCTTACAAGCTGCTTTTGTCTCACGAGAAAGCTCTCTGAAGAGCCCAAGTTCTTAAAGCTACACACGAGCAGAAGGCATTAATATCCAGTTAGTTTGCAACTAAATCGGTGGTAAAGATGGTGTTGTCAACACATCAAAGTAAAGCGTATCATGGATTTAAAAAATAATTTTCCAGCAATATATATTGCAGGATAGCTATAAATGCAAAATGGATAAATTCAATATTTTTAAAAATAATGATAAAACAAATTGCCATACATAGCACTTTCACCACTACAGTAACACAATATTACTCACTATGACATTACAGAAACATTACTTAGTCCTAATCTTTTTTTAATACTGGTTTTAAACCAATTCATTGGATATGTTGCAATAGCAGATTCCCAGATTAGCTTAGATTTTCTATTTTTGGTTATTTAATATTTAATATTTATTTTACTCAAGTGATAGTTGTCTTTACTGTTCTAATGTAGTAAAAATCCTACGTAAAGTCATATTACGTATTTTTTGACATTGATATTGAAATCTGAAATATATATAGAAAGTATTTACAGAAACAGAACAGAAATATTCATATAACCTTAACTCATGGTTGATGTTATGGAGGCAGTTAGTTCAAACGTCAAATATTATTGATTCCTCACCTGCGAATTCTGAGGAGGATTTGGTGGTTCTTCGATATCTTCTGTTGTGATTGATATTATTACTTCAAAAGGAAAAGGGGGAAAGGAGAATATTATTTGCCTGTTTATCTATGATGGTAAGAAAGTCACCTAATTGACTATAATGTTATTTTGATATTTTAAAAAAATATTATTATTTGTTTTATCATAATTTAAAACATTTGTTATACATCATTTTTATACTGTAGACACCTAATATTTAATACAGTATGTAATACATTTTTTTCTTTAGCATCTACTGTTATTTTCACACTTATACATATTTTCTATCCCTCACCACTGCACTCCCCTTCCCCTTGAGCCATTTCTTTTATGTATCCTCTGTCCAAAATTTCATTTCCACTTATGGAGGTAATTTTCAGTCTTTCTTTTAAAATCCTCTTTTAACAAATTTTCTCCATACATCATCAAAATTACTTTGTTTTCGTATCCCTGTTTTAACTTTTAATTTATGTGTCAGGTTATCATTTATTGCCAATTTCCAAACTTCCTTATACCACTCTTCTATTTGTATCTTTATTTCCCTTTTCCAATGTCTTGCTATAAGCAGTCTTGCTACTGTTAATAAAAAATAAATCTTTTTCCTCTTTTTCAACTGTTTATTATATAATGATAATAAAGCAATGCTAGAACTTCTTTCTATTTTGATATCCATTATATCCTATATCTCTTTAAATACCTTTTTCCAAAAATTACTTACATATTTACATTGCCACCACAAATGTATATATATACCCATTTCTTGGCATCCTTTTAAAAAAAAATTAAATAGTTTTTCTTCACATATGCTATTTTTCATTGCTGCTAGAGACCATTATTTTGATATTTAACATAGAAATTTGCGAACAGGAAACATTTGAAATATACGATAATTTAGATCCCAAACCTTCCACTTTGCAGACCTGAAACTCAGTACTGGATTTTTTCCTCTTAGCCATAAAGAATTTCAGCTATTAAAAATTATGATTTGTATACGCTCATCACAAATGGTTTAAGAGTTATATTTGGAAGGGGAAGAAGTCAAAGTACTATTAGGTAATTCCAACCCATACAGAACATAGTTTTAATTCAAGTAAACTGTCTAGGCCAGGGGTCCTCAAACAAAGGGTTACATAACAACAACAATCCTATCTCATCAGCCAAAAGCAGGCTCACACTTCCCATTGAAATACTAATAAGTTTATATTTGTTCTTCATTGTAATTATTGTATTGTTTTAAAGTGTTTTTTTGCACTACAAATAAGATATGTTCAGTGTGCATAGGAATTCATTCATTTTTTTTCAAATTATAATACAGCCCTCCAACAGTTTGAGGGACTGTGACCTGGCCCTCTGTTTAAAACGTTTGAGGACCCCTGGTCTAGGCCAATGATTCTCAACCTGTGGGTCCCCAGGTATTTTGGCCTACAACTCCCAGAAATCCCAGCCAGTTTACCAGCTTTCAGGATTTCTGGGAGTTGAAGGCCAAAACACCTGGGGACCCACAGGTTGAGAATCACTGGTCTAGGCCAATATGGTGTAGCACAGGAAACCGATTCAGCCATGGAAACCTTGGATAAGTCACAAACTCCATCTTTAGAGGAAGCAAAAGTAAATCTCCTTTAAACAAATTCTGCCAGGAAAACCCTGTAATAGGTTTGCCTTAAGATTGCTGTTAAGTCTGAAATGACTTGGAGGCATATAACAACTACCCCCATTCACCAAGTATTAAAGCTATTTATTAAAACATTCAGATATGTTTTTAATCTGTCAAAATGTGTTTTGTTGTTACTCGCCTTCCTCTTCTTCTCCTAAGCTCCTTTCTTGGTTTTCATCCAGGTTAACTCCCAATACAGAATCAGATGATCTCACTTCTTGCCCTTTATTATTCCCTTTGACAGCAGAAAACGCCCCGTTGTATAAGAATGCCTGTAACGTAGAGCTAGAGGCAGGGCCAGAGACTGTTTTAAGATGAGGTATCGGGTCACTGTCAGTTGAAGGAGTAAATTGGCCGATCTGGATACTTGATTGGGATGCATGGCCAAAGGGGTTCCATCGAGGCTTTGAAACCTCAAGATCCGAAACAAGTTCCCCAGTCCTAAAGTGCGACTCGGAGGCATGACCATGGATATTCCACCGAGGCCGACAGGACACCACCTCAGAAACATTTTCTCCAATTCTGATGTTGGCATCCGACGTGTGTCCGTGGATGTTCCACCGAGGTCTGCTTGGCTCTACGTTAGACACAAACTCGCCAATCTTGATGTTGGCATCTGAAGCATGCCCATGGACACTCCACCTGGGCCTGGAGGGCTCAACATCAGAGGCATATTCTCCAACTTGAATGTGAGCTGCAGACACGTGGCCATGGATATTCCAGCGAGGCCGGCTTGTCTCTTCCTCAGGAGTGTATTCTCCAATTCGAATGTGTGCATCCGAAGAATGGCCATGAGGATTTGAATGCGGCTGGGTTGCTTCTGCACCTGGAACATACTCGCCTATCTTAATGCTTGCATCAGAAGAATGGCCATGGATATTCCAACGAGGCCTCCTGCTTTCAACCTCAAAAACATTTTCCCCAACTCTGACGTGACTTTGCAAACCTGAAGGCCTGAGAACAGTACTGAAGTCATATTCTGGGGCGATTGCTTCTCCTTCTGTGACATCTTTCAGTGCAGAATTTCCTTCAACCACCTGGTCACTCAAGGAAAGATCGGAACTGATGTTTTGCAAAGCTTCTTCTAATAAGCTGCTCTCCTTTGTAGTACAGGGGGCTGAAGGGGTTTCCTCCTGAGACTTTGGTAAAAAATCTTCAAAATCCAGGCCTTGTTCTGACACACTCTTTGAGAGAGGAACTGTTCCCTTTGTACAGAGTACCTGGGTTGCGGTTTCTGTTTCTTCCAACTCAGAAGACTCAGTAGCCTGCGTATTTGCTGGCTGTGCAACGTCTAGTGGTTTATCTGAAGCATCATTTGCCAGCTCAGATCCTGTATTTCTGTCAGTGTCTCTATCATTAGGATAGTCAGGCTCTGCAGGAGTTAACTGAAGTGCAAATAAAGAAAACCATTATTAAAATAACGACATTTTATTGATGTAGTATTGTGTTATCTGTATTTTAATAGTGTTATGTTTTATTGTTCTGCTTTAGTCCTGTTGTACCCTGCCTCAAGTACAGGCGGGTGTAATAATAATAATATACTGCCAGAATGTCTTTCATTCACAATGTTTAACAATACTATGTTGTAGCATTTTTTAATAATTTTTATATGTTCATGTTTATTTTTTGTTGGCTTATGATAGTATAACCAGTATGCATAACAGTCTATTGCAACTAGAGTAGGCCTCCACTTTCACATTGTTTAGAGGCACAGGACTACTGCAAAAGTGGAAACACTGCATTACACACACAACACATATATATACACACATATACCTGGGAGGACACATTTCTTTGAATTTCTAGGTTCTCTAGTGTGACTCTATGGTCAATTTCCACCAGAAGCTGACCACAGAGTCATGCTGGAGGTCCTAGAGATTCCTAGACAGACCATATTAATCAAATTCACAAATAACCAAATCCTCAAAAGTTAAGCTCACAAATTTGGAGGACCAATTGTATTAAATTTGGAGGACCAATTGTATTAACATTTGTCATTAGACAATGTATATAAAACAACAAGACCAACCTGAAGAACAGAATCTCCCACTGGCAGAAGCCCAGCTGAAGCCTGCTGACTTCGATATTCTGGAATTATATCTACCTTCCTCCTGTATTGTCCATTGGGAAGTTTTTCAAGCATTTCCTAAGGATCAAATAAGGGTCAAAATCTAAGCTGTAAACATACTAAGTGTATTTAAGTAACTAAAGACAACTTGCTAGCTCTTGAAAGAAGGAGAAATAGCCACACTACCTCAATACGTTTTTGATCTTCCATCAGAAACTTAAGACGGGCTGTTTCCAGTTTATGTCTTTGAATTTTCCATAAGGCTTTCTTTTCTCTATGAGCTGCTTCTTCTGAGAGTTTGCTATAATGGTCAATTAACTCTTGCCTGTATGAATCAGAAGAATAAACTCACAATGTCAAATTGCAATAAAGCGGAGGGGAAAAAAATCAAAATTCCTTCACAACTCAAAATGTATCCCACAAACTAAAAGGCAGAGAGCTTACAATTGTGACCTCCCTGCCCTGAGGAAGTCAAATAGTTTATTAACACAACATCTGGACTTTCCTCAGTAATCAGTGTTACCAAAATTTACAATCTTGAAGAAAATTGTGACTTAACTATATAGATCAAATTCAGCAATTGGGTAGCTGCAAACTGTGTTTGTTCTGCCTTCAGGTGGTTTGGAAAAGACCTCCTCTTTTAAATTTAAATGATGCAAATGTAATAGACCATGAATCTGTAGGAAAAAAATCGAATTCAAATCGAGCATTCTCTTTTACCAGATTACTCAGAGGATTCTGTGTACTGTGTGTTGCTTCTATAAGAGTTCTTTCTTTCTTTCCTTTTATATCCTGCCTTTCTCCAAGTTAGGGATCCAAGGCAACATAAATATCTTTGATCCAATATATATTTAAAAAGCAGACAGTGTAATGGACATTGCAGGGGTTTTTAACATTTCTGAAATATGCATCTGCTCAAATATGTATGATTAAAAAACTTTTCGCAATATTCTGTTAGTACAAAGTTTGGGATAAAGTCCAACTATTACACAGACTCCTCCTGGCCAGATTCATTGTCCTTCTCAGAAACTGAAAGAGTTCAAGGAGATATCTGTGGCTATTTGAAAGAGCCCTGCTGAATCAATCAAAGGCCTGCCTTGTATTGTTAACTGAACAGCCAGCCAAACAGCTAAAGAATCCCACAAGCAAGACATGTGACTACAACAGCACTCTAATATGCATTTTTCTTGGCCTCTTGAAAGAAATTCAGCCTCTCATACTGGATGTAACAGAGGCATCATAATTAACAGTCATTGATAGTCTTATGGTGGTATTCAAAACCTGTATTACAGCCATCCAAGTTGTGACATTCTACATTCCCAAAAATAATTCCCCAAGTCAACTATGAACTATGAGAAGTGGCAATTTATTTCATCTGCTATGAATTTCCCATTCTTATAATTTTATAAATGTCAGTGATGTTCCTTTGTGTTACAATTAATATGCTTATTGTGCTTTTATTTTCCTTTATATATTATGATTTGTTTTTTTGATTTACTGTTCTGATTTAACTTTTCCTGATTTGGTTGTGTGACTATTATTATTTATATCATTTTCCTTGTTGTGGGGAGAGGAGGTGGGATATAAAGTTTTATTGTTGTTATTTGATACACAATGAACTTAGTACACAGCAAACAAGATCACTATGCTGGCTTTTGTATTTGCTCACACATCGGACACTTGTGTGATCAAGCGTCTAGGACCGTATGATGTATTGGAGAATAATGCGTGCAGATCCAAATAAGGTGGCCTTTTGCAGCTAACAGATGGTAATTTTGTCAGTGCAAATTGTTTTTAAGTCTAGGCCAAGGTCTTTAGGCACTGCACCCAGTGTGCCAATCCCCACTGGGACCACCTTTATTTTCAGCTGATGTTATTCTTTCTGCTCCCTTACCTTGCCCTCTTCTCCAAGTCTTCTTCTAAAGCCTTCAATCTTTTCTCCCTTTCTCTGAGCTCTCGGGCATAGCTGAAGTTGTCATCAATCTCTTCTTGTTTCAAAGCATGTCGCCGCTACGTTTAAATTAAAAAGGCTTTGAGATAGCTACCCAAAACAACACACACTGAGGCCTCTATTTTATATCCAAACAAGTTCAATCGCTATACAATTTTTAAAAAAATATTTTGTAGTTACCAGAAGAAAATGTACACTTCACGAAAAAAAAAAAACCAATTACCTGTTGATCTTTTTCAAATTGTTCTTTTAATTTCTGAAACTGCGCACGCTTCTTTGCATCCAGGGCCATTTTCTGAGATATTTGTTGATCTAAATACAAATTTCTAATGTTACTGCATTGTTAGCAAAACAACACTTTAAAAGATTAGAAAGACAGCTGTAACTTACCTGTAAAGGCTTTTAGAGCTTTGCTGGCCATTTCTCGAGCGTGAACAATTAACTCCTGTTTTTCAATTTCCATGCGCAAGTCCTAAGAGGTAGTTACAAATGATTTAATGATATTTTTCAACTTTCTCACTGTAACAGTGTGCCTTTAGATGTGTATTTTCATGAGCAAAAAACCCAGCAATGCAAAGAAACCCATTTAAATGTAAGTAGGAATCTTGCTGGAGCAGTTACACTACTGTAATTTGATGGATGAAATAACACTGAAGCTTGCGTTTTCATTTTCTGATCCTAGGATATCTCAGGCGAGTAAGTATTTAGGATAAAATATTCAGGCTATTATGCTAAAAAGGCCTCTGCTGTCTGACTGAAGATTACATCACAGAAATGCAGGAAGCAGTAATGACATACCGGTCATTAGCATTATATTTTAGATACGATCAGAATTTCCTTACACAAACTTAACTTCCCTAGAAATCCACGTAGAGCACAGAAGTTAAAGAGATACAGGTCTTTATGTGATAGTTTAAAGCTCTGCTCATAGGTCATCATGCAATCTTCCCAGGATGTTTGGTGATAACAGCACCTAGTTTGTTTTTTCCCCTTTTTTTGTTTTCTCCGACTGAAGGATGATGACAACGAAACATTCTATTAAAGAATTAAAAATCTATTTCTTCTACCACAGTGGTTCCCAACCTGTGGTCCGTAGACCACCAGGGGTCCCCAAGAACTAAAATACGGTCCACGGCCTCACCATTACTACGCTGTTGTAGCAAGAGCGATTGGTCTCACAAAACCCTCTTATAGTTCTGAGGCAATGGGGATGTCTACTCAAGAAAGGCTCAACAACAAGCCTCCTGAGTGCTGCTTCTCCCCCTCCCTCCCCCTGAGCGGAGCTGTTCCTTGTGGGATCTGGAAGCAGGGGCGCCTTGGTGTCTTTGTTTTTCGGCCTGTTCCTGGGGTTATTTGGGGTGTTGATTCAAAAAATTGCATTGGATAGACCATATCAGCTCTAGATTATTAAATATGGTTTTCTGTGGGTGAGTAGATGGCGACTACTGGATGGTATATGTTCCGTATCAGAAACAAGAGCTGATGTGGTCTATCCAATGCAATTTTCTGAATCAGCAACCCAAATAACCAAACCTAATCTAAAGTTGTCCAAAACTGATTCGTTATCCCATTTGGTACTAATGTTGGAGAGTGGTCCCTGATCAAAGTGGTCAAAACAAGGTTGGGAATAAATGTTCTACCAGGCCTACCAAGTCGATTCTAAACTGACATTGGATGGATGATTTTAATGTGTGTTTTACTCTGATGTTTAAGTGTTTTCAATCTATGTAGTTTAGATGATTTCATGTTTTCAGTTATCTATTGCAGTGGTTCTCAACCTGTGGATCCCCAGATGTTTTGGCCTTCAACTCCCAGAAATCCTAATAGCTGGTAAACTGGCTGGGATTTCTGGGAGTTGTAGGCCAAAACAGCTGGGGACCCACTCGTTAAGAACCACTGATCTATTGTATTTTAACCCTACACTGTATCCCATCTTAAGCCTTGGGTAGAGTAATTTCCCCTCTTGAGTAGTCAAAAAGGTTTTGATTGCCTTTTACTAGACTTTGAAAAAAAGGCCTCACAGGACTATTGAAAAAATCCAAAACTGTCCCTGTGTTAGTACAGCATTTGTGTTGGAAGAAAGATGCATTATAACAAATGTATCCAATAAACATGCTCTATGCAGTTGGTTCTCAACCTGTTGGTCCTCAGCTGTTTTGGCCAACAACTCCCAAAAATCCCAGCCAGTTTACCAGCTGTTAGGATTTCTGGGAGTTGAAGGCCAAAACATCTGGGGACTCATAGGTTGAGAACCACTGCTCTATAGTTTGCCATATATATTGCTGTTAAACATTTGATGATAAAATTAAGAGATGTACCATTTAACACTCAAATATATATTTCAAACAAACAAAAAACCCCAATAAATATATCAGAAAATCCACGATGTGACATCCTAAAAATGCAAACCTATATCCACCTACTTGAAAAATATGAGCCACTCTATTTTTATTTTATTTTTTGCTTTATTTTTGAATAGAATACATTTCTGGCTTTTGTATACATCTTGTAATTTATGGAGGGGGTTATTATACACGTATGAATTCACATGATAAGGCAATGCACCTTATCAGTGCAAAATTGCTTTTTAAATTCAATTTACCTTTTCTTCCTTGCTGATGGTGCTGTAACGTGCAATTCTTTCCATTCGACCAACATACACTGCACAATCTCTCTCAATCCCTTTTAATTCTTCAAAGGAGAAAATCACAGAAATCCGAGGAACAGGGATATCAGACCAGCATATATAGTGCTGCAAAAGGAGTAGTAATCACAAAAGGGTCAAAATTATAATTTTTGTATATCTTGGACTGTAATATGGGAAAAGTCTTGTTCAATGTTTATGATTTATACATCTACTTATATCATTTTAAAGTTTTCCACTGTATTTGGTGGAACTGTTATCAAGTAAATATGTATGTGATTATTATCATAGACACGATATTATATTATGATGCAGCAACTGTAATACCATCAGAATTTTTTCACTAAATATTCTTTTGGAAGTTGTTCTATGGAAAATGCCATCTCTGGGTTTTCTTTATGATACTGTAACCACTGTTGCTGTGTGTCTTCAAATTATTTCAAACTTATGGAAAGCCTAAGGTGAACATATCATAGGATTTTCTTGGCAAAATTTGTTCTGAGGGGATATACCTTTGCCTTTCTCGGAGATCATTCAGTGGGTTTTTATGATCAAGCGGGAACTTGTACCCTGTCCTCTAGTCATAGTCCAATGCTCAAACCATTACACTATACTGGGGCTTGTAAACCAGCAAGATTAACTTGTGGCCCTTCAGATGTATTTAGATTACACTATCCACCATTTGTTATTATTGCTAATGCTGACCAGAATTAATGAACGCTGAAATCCAAAGACACCTGGAGAGAAACACGCTCCCAACTTCTGTTCTGAACAATGCCAACTCAATGATTGTCAAGAGCAGGAAGAACTTACCCTGGGACAACACAACTTTAACAAGTTTATGGTTTTCCCACAAACGTAGACATCATTAGCAATATGTTTCAGGAAAACAGGGACGCAGTCTTCTACTTCTTTTGAAATCAAAACATATCCATGGGTCCAGTAACGTTTGTCTAGAGAGCCATAGGGAAAAGGCCAAAAATACCATATTTCATTTGATATTTCATAATAGTCACCACTGTGTAATAGTTGCACCACCATTTTTAGGGATGGCAAAATAGATAGTTTTGTGTTTCTTGCATAATAGTCACAGAGCTATTTGGGGCTGATTCCCCTTTCCTTTCTAACTTCTTTTTCCAAAGGTAAGGCATTTTTTAAAACCTGAAATTGAGGTATCTGGGACTGGGATATTCCCTTCTTCCTCCAAAGAGCTCCATTTTAGATTTTGTAAATTGCCTTCCCTTCAGAGAAAGAAGAAAGGGAGAATCAGTCCCAAATGGCTTTGCAATTTATTAAAAAAACAAACAAACAAAAACATGAACTGTTTGTTTGAGGTTGGATCATCTTCCTCTCCCTTCTTTTTCAGGGGCAAGGAAGTTTATTTTTTAAAAAAAGATCAGAGAGCAGAAAATCAAAGTCAGATTCTTTTTCATCATGTTATGGTCGCACCCCTCTTTTTTCTATAAAAAGGGGGCTAGAATGAGTATTATGTCACTTTAATATTCTTGAGCACAATTAGATTTTTAACAAATTACTATCCTTTCTCTTCACCCAGATCAGCCAATTTTCTTTACATCTCTTTTCTATTGTAGCAATACCCCGCATTCTCATACAGATGAAACCTGTCATATTTTGTAAGTGGGAAAATGTACTACTTATCTATATCACATCCGTGAATATGACTGCCATGAAAAATATGGCCATGAAAAAGTCACTGGAGCCTGCTAGAATTTGTGACAGTATTAGCAAAATGTCTTGTTTGAATAATTGCTCACCATGTTTTCCTGCCTCTGTGCAAACCCAGTATTGGAAGCATTTTTAAAGTTTTCTTTCTTTGTCTTCCTCCTTGTTGTTTAACATTTATTTATATGTCTCTTACTATCTCTTCATATAGCCTTTTTGAGAATATACAGCCCAAAATGCATTGGACATTTTAAATATTTATCAATTGAACACCTTGAGATATATTCCTGATTTATTCTATTTCTTATTGTCTAACATGGGGACTGTCAAAATATATGCAATTAAACATATACAGTAAAGCCAAACAGTTAGAAAATGGTTTCATTCATAAACAGCAAAAAAGATGAGAGTGAATTCAAATGTCAGATATAAAAGATACCACATTTTCCAAGGAGAATAATAAACCAATCCAGGTTGTGCATCCCTTATCAGAAATGCTTCGGACTAGAAATGTATATTGGATTTTTTTCAGATTACAGAATACCCGCATGTACAGTACAACCCCCAAATCAGAAAGGGATGTGTTCCAAAAGTCCCAGTAGACACCTCAAACTGAGGATAATAGCAAACCCTACATTTTGGCTGTACTTAGAATGAAAACATGCCATAGAATCGCATTGGAGGACCCAGGGAAGCCCACAAACACTTCCAGGGGAGGCTTTTTTAAAAGTGTGTGTAAGTGAAACTGTGATTATATCAAATCTGTGGATAAGAGACTAGTACTGTATGTACCAAATGAGACATCTTGGAGAAGGGACATACATATAAACACAAAATTAAATTGTTTCATATACCTTATATATATAGCCCAAATGTAATTTAATGAAACATATTTAATAATTTTATAAATGAATCAACATTTGTGGAAATTGACTTATCAGAAAGTGAATGCCACTATCTTAGCCACTCATATTCATAATTTCAGATTTTGAATTTATTACCAAACCCTCAAGGATAAGGAATACTCAACCTATACAATAGAACCAAGTGGCAAAATGATGATACTTTAAGTATTTGGCCACTATTTTGAAGATCAACAACATCAACCACCTATCATTACACCAAACAGTGAAAACCTTTTTTCTTATACCAGTTTATTCATTTTTCTGCTAGTTTATTTTCTGGACATACAGCAGTGTGCTAATTCAGTCATAGCTACAATTTCCTTTAGTATGGAATGACAGAAGGAAGACTGCTGGTGACTGAGAGCCTAATGCACGAAATATGATGCAACAGGACCATACTTTTCTGAATGCAGAGCACAACCCCTTAGTTCTCAAAGCAATGTGACAGGAATTAAAAATCCAACCTACCTCTAAAGCCTAGATAATCTTCATTCACCTGAATCATAAATTCACCATATAAATCTCTGAACACACCACTATATACCCAATCATGGATAAACCTAAAACAAAGAACAGTGAACATCACATTTCAAGAAGGTATGGCACCTCCCTCTTTAAAGAAAGGTTATTCTTACTCAAGAGATAATAAATCATATCAGATCGCTACCACTAAAATGATTATTTCAATAAGGGAACATCTGTAAAGCTCTACGGGTTTCATGTTCCATACTGCACTTCCCAAAAAAGTATTCAGCATTACAGATTATCCTGAGAGTTTTCTTAAAATGCATCAACAGTTTTTATAAAAACAAAAAGCTTCAGGTCTATAATATTCACTATAACAATAAAACAGTTTAAGATTTAGTTTTATTTCAATAGTCTAGAGCAGGCATGGGAAAATTTTGGCCCTCCAGGTGTTTTGGACTACAATTCCCACAATTCCTAACAGCCTGTAGGCTGTTAGGAATTGTGGGAGTTGTAGTCCAAAACACCTGGAGGGCCAAAATTTGCTCATGTCTGGTTTAAAGTGAGGCTACTTCCTTTCTGAGAGTCCAACAGATTCTGCCACCTATGATAAAAATCTATTAGATTTTCAATGCTAGTACGGGAGCACATTAATTAAATCTGAGGCACCCACCTTGTATATGGTTCACAGCTTGTTTTAAGTAGTGACAAAAGAACTGGGTAATGTTCATTGCTGCAGTTATTAAGGGCCTCTTGGTATAGATAGGAAAGAAGCTTCACTCCCTGAAAGAGAGACAAGGCACTTTATGTAAGGGAAATCGCAACACAGAGTCAGTTGCTCAGCTGTATCAGATAACTTTATCTTCACTGACAAAAGGCTGTCAAAGCCTACTCCCATGGTTCAATGCAGCCTGCTTTTGTTGACTTCTAGCGATTCCTGTTTACTAAAAACTCTTGAGAGGCACCAAGCAGAAGATATATTGTAATCAAGACACTAATGATGTTTCTGTTACAGAGAATCCTTGCTCATTCAGACTATCTTAGCATAGCATTTTAAATCCTGATCGGCAAATACACATAAGCTGAACCAGCCGTGGCAATCACTTTATTAAATACGAAGGCATTTACAGTGGAGGTTTTCAAAGCACTTTGAAAGTGTGATTCCTTTTCTTCTATGACTTCAGGAAAGAAGTAAAATCATATACTCACGGTTGGAAAGGATGTGTTATTGCCACCACCGATTCCCGGTGAAGTCACTCCTATGCCACAGAGATCAGCTAAATATCTTAACAGCAGAAAAGATAGAGGGGGCAATATTAGACTGTTTGCTCCAGCATTCTCTCTCACGCACTAGTTAAGAAATACTGGTTTACAGACTTGCTGCATCAATAATAGACTAAACTCGATCTTTTTTGTTGTTGACATTTAGATGGAACATCTTTGACTCCTTTGTGTTTGCAATCAAGCGGATGAGCTTTCAATACTCCTTTTACTTTATATTTTAATACTGTAACATTACCTTAGCTGGCGTCCTAGTTTCCTGAAGAGAAAGCTGATAGTCAGAAGCGTGAGCGTGGGAAGAGTTGACAGGACACATGCTCGATAATACTGAAGGTACTTCCTTAGCCCACTGGTGAATGCCTGACACAGGGGAGGAAAACTCTATTAAAAACTGCTTACTGTTGAAAATGTGTTAGAGAACAGAGATGTTTGCTGTACTATTCTACTTTCATCTCTTTCAGAAGACACTGGTCCATGCAAATTTTTACACCTCATTTACAGCTATCTCAAATAATAATCTTGTTAAATGCAGCTACCATAACTCAGCAGTGCACGTTTTGCATACAAATGGTCTGAGTATAAGTCACACACTACTAAAAAGACCACGTAGAAAATGATGACAAATACTTGTATGCAAATAGGAGCAGAAAAAACCTCCCACCGTCTTCAGTAATCATGAGCAATCTACTTGCAGATCACAAGGTAGGAGAAGACTGGAGTAAATCCATATTGAGCCTGGTGGACAATCCAACTTGAGCTCAGGCATCTTGTCCATCTTTGATAGATGCACATGGTATGTTCTACCTGCATGGGCATGTGGGTATGTTCTGCCTGCACGCAACTTTTCAACAAGATTACTATCACTCAACCTAGCCACTGCGAGGAAGTAAGCCTCAGCTACAAAATATGATGGCCATATCTGCAGAGGACATGTTTTAAAAACCCCTACAAATACCTGAAACTGTTGATCATAGTGAACCCTCTATTTTGATGTTATTGGACTGGAAGAATAGTACAAAATAGAACTGGAGGACGTAGAAAGGCCCACAAACACATCTGGAATGGAATATCTTTTGAAGAAAGTGTAACTGTGGATACTGGATCTGTGAATAACATATCTTCATCTTACATAGGCTAAAGAACGCAACAAAACAGTACAGGTGGAGTAACACAGTCTGTTTGTCAAATAATAATAATAATTAAACTTTGTACCTTGCTACCATCTCCCCAAAGGTACTTGGAGTGGCTCACAAAAAGCACATAATAGTGCAGAACACACAAAATACATCAAGATACATAACATATAAAACAATAACAATGTAGGTTTACAAATCCATAAAATATCATACAACCCTATTGATTCAAAATCCAACAATGCAGCAAGGCTGCAAGTATAAAAAGGCTGTTTAACAACTCAAACAAACCAACTATCTGTTTGGACAAATACAGCAATTATCTCTACTTTCTCTTACAGTCCTTCTAATCAAATCCCCACTTCCTAAACTAAAACAATCAATTTGGGGAAACAGAATTATACTTTAGACCACCTGCATCCTATTTCCATCCCACTCATGTATTCTAAAAGCTGAAAATACTGCACAATCTTTACCTCATTTCCTATCAAACTTTTTTTGAAATACACCACAGATATTTAAACGCCCAGGTCCCAAATCTAACACTCAACCATTACACCGCACTGGGATTTGTAGAATTATGTATGTATGGCTTTTAGGCAGTTGTGGGGCAATTTTTAATTCAAAGTGGATTGCTGGTAAACTCCACTCTGCTCTCCCTCCCCAATCCACATGAAAGATTTTGGGTTATATGCTGAAGTCAATGAGCAGAGTTCACTTTTACTCCCTGCCGTTCCGCCATATTTGCTTTAGCATGCTAAAGAACTCAACAGAACAGTTCATGAGAAAGAAAAATAATTCCATGGGATGCAATCTGCTTCTTCAAATAGAGGGGTATTAGAAAATCCAACCAAGAGGAATTGGGTAACGTAAGAATGTAACAGTTCATTCAACCAGGTCAGTGATATGACTACAGTCTGGGTACCTGAAACACAAGACCTTTCCTATATGAAGAGTCCAGGACTGGTTGGATAGAGAAGCGGCTCAGGCGTGTGTAGTAAGTTCCATATTCAGCAAGTTCCGATAGAAGACTGTGCATGCTTTCAGGTGACGTTCCAGACACATACAGGCCCTGCTTGACCGCAAACCTCTGGGCAGCCTATAAGATTGTAGCAAAGAAGAAAATCACCCACTAAAATGAAAAACACATATAATACTTCCAAAGTATGTACACTAGTCACAATCACTATAATTCTGAACTATTAAAAAAGCAAATGATTCAGTGGGGAAGGAGCTTTCTATAATTGTCTGTAAAAATAAACATTCCACAAAGAGCAAATTATAGCAACATCAAATGACTGAGTAATTTTAAGAAGATGAACATACATACAAGCAAGCATGATGAAAGTTTTAAGGGAAAATAAAGTAAACCCGCATGAAAAGCTTTACATTGATTTTATACCACTAATGAAGTATTCAGTTTCACTTGGTATACACTAATATGTTCTGCAGATAAACCAATATTTATTTTAATTTTGGAGGATTTGTTTCTATTATTTCCACAATCACTACATGATTTAAAAGCTAATTTATGAGTTTTTCTGTTTACTTAGATCTTCCCAGATCAATTGTATATGTGAACTCTTCAACAGTACACTTGTTTACAAAATTCGGGAACAAGTGTCCTCTCTGGGAAGAGATCTACACTTCTCACATCATTTTTGTCACATCATAAAAGTTTGCACTGCCAGAACATCACAAAATTGTAGTATATATAAATGTTTCTGGATACCTGATTAAATGAAAATGAAGTAGATACCACTCCAATAAGGACATTGAGAACATCCTTAACGATTTCAGATTCTTTCACCAGCACACGTTGAGGGAGCTGAAGCTTGTTACTGCTGAAAAGTTGCAATTCTGCTTCTCGAAGTCTGCAAAATTTGTCAAAGGCTTCTCTACCAGCCTCAGAAAGGTATGGTTCTTCTCTTTTTCCTGGTGGACTGTGTCAGAAAAAACAAAACAAGAGCAATAACCATGGCTATAAAACAACACTAAGGAACTTGGGGTTATAGGCAATATTTTTAACCAGGGACACAATCACACATGACAATTATGTTTTTGTTCTTCTGTTCTCGGACTTCAGAGCTCAACTTAGTTACAAACCTAATACCTGCCATGTTACAAAGGAGATCTGTCCTTTACTGCCTTTACTGTATTTCATCACAGTCACCAGTTTAAATGTCTGGATTTGATTAATATGCTCTCTAGGATGACTCTATGGTCTATTTCTGCTGGAAACTGATTGTGCAGTCACACTGGGGAACACAAAGGTTTCTAGAGACAACACTTCTCTAGCCATTTTTATTCACATTTTTTCTACTCTAATGAGTGTTCTGCAGTCCTAACCCCCATGAAAGTGGAGGACCTACTATACCTGAGTTTAATTTTTAGATATTGGTCATTTTAACTGTACATTTTTATATAAATTGTTAATTACTCAGAGGTGGCTGACCTATACATAATAAATGAATATTTGGATAAGATGCGTTGAAAACATTCTTCATGACTATGTAACATGATTTTTGTTCCTGGGTTATAAATGTAATTCCCTAATTGGTTCTATCATAAAAACATGAGGAAAGTTTATTAAACTGCACAAAATTTGATTTTGCAGGATATCCTGCAGCACATTTTGCTATAGTTTTTCAATGAATCTCATAGATTCTCAACCAATTCATAGTTTGTGGCAGCCACAAAAATGTTTCTGGAGTATAACAACTACTTTCAAAGTAAGTACCACACAATTAAACAGGAAATAACACTTTCAAACCAGGAACAAAAAAAATTTGAAATGTTGTTAGTGTATAGCAGATCTTTCAGATTCAAAGATCTGACATCTACTGATCAAGTGAGCTTCTTGCAAAAACACATTACAAATGTTTCTGAAGCTTCAAGCTGGAAACTCACCATCCAATCCTTTCCCAGCATCTTCGCTTACTAGGTCCATATGTAAGCACTGCTTCCCAGAGATCAATATCTGGTGTCACACTGGGTTCTGATTGTGAGTCAGGAGTGAGATTGGAGGCTGACTGGAACCCTTCATCTTCTGAGGGATCTATACTTTGGGGAACCTATAAAAAATAAATATTCATATCTATAAAACCAAGTAGCTATGATTCTGTTTTATGGTGTCAGGGTTGTCCAGTCTGTGTCAGGAAGAGAGTCAGCTCTGTAAGTCACCTCCCAGCAAATCTACCTGCCTTTTCAGATACTTAGATTTTTATCAAAAATATTTTTCACTTTCCCACACTTATTCCACAGCTCACATTGCTCTATTTTCAACAGGTCATTGGCTAACTCTTACACTTGAGATTTTCATCAGTAATTGCTATTATTAGATAAGAAGCAGGAAAACTAAAAGCATACTGGGAACCCACATTCCCTAACACTGACCATGACTAAGGACGATTTCAATCCTTGTCCAGCCCCAGAATGCCTTCTCGGTGGTGGTCTCTCAGCACTGGAACACGCTCCCCAGATAAATTAGGTTAGGTCCCACACTCTAATGTTTTTGGAAAAATTGAAAACATGGCTCTTCAAGTAGGCCTTCAAACATGACTAAAACAGTTAACACATACTCCAGCATTTTATGTGACCAACAGTGTATTTTAATCTGCAGTTATTACTGTGTTTTATTGAGTATTTCTATCTAAACTAGGATGGGGTTTTATGCTGTTTATATATATATATATATATATATATATATATATATATATATATATATAGGTTTTATGTAAATCAACAGTGCTATGTATTATATGTATTTACTGTAGTTTTGTATTCTGTTTGCATTAGTATGTGCTTTGTAAGCCACCCCAAACCCCTTTCGGGAGATGGTGGCAGGATATAAATAAAGTTTTACTGTTATTATTACTTGAAGACTATGTGTGTATGTTGCATATGAAACAAATAAATTTCATATTTAGACCTGGGTCCTATATTCAAGACATCTTTTTATGTATATACATGTAAATATAGATATTCCAAAATCTGGAAAAAAAAATATCCAAAATCCAGAACACTTCTGGTCCCAAACATTTTGGAATGCTCAACCTGTGTAATTACCACTCTGTATTTACTGAAGTACTCTAACAGATACATATATAAAAATCCATACAAAATAATAAGGTAAGTGCTGTGCAAAAGTTACATACCTTAATGGCAAGTCCAGACAAATCGGCACTGTCAGGTACAGGTGGCAGGTCCAGCTTGATGTCCATGTCATACGTTCGACTATGAACAAGAGCGCCAAACAGCGAGACACGGGTTTCTCGCTCAAACCTGTCGCCTACTGGACAATTTTGTGAAAACAGTTCAACAGAAGGAAGGCCCGTGCCAGGCGCTGCCTCCATCATCTGCAGTGTCTTTTGAACGGTATCATTCAAGTGATGTTCTTCATTAGCAACAAATGCCTGCATGTCTGCTTCAAACACACTAACATCATAATAATCGTAGCCTTGGTATTTAACGTTTCTTCCAACATATTTGTTGTTCAGAAAGTAATCCTTTTTCAGTGGTGTACACTGAGGCGGCCCAGTTCCTGCAAGCTGTACCAAAAGATCTAGAACTGAATGGATTTCTGTAAAGGGTAAACAGGTAGATTTTTCCAACTCATCTACAAGCTCCTCCAGTCTTTCGGCTTCTGGGCCCATTCCAGCAACTCTCAAGTTGAAAGACAGCATTAAAATTTTATTTTTCACAGGTAGTTTGGGAGTGTTTGATTGTAATTTCCGGCCCTCCTCCAGGAAAAGGTTAGCAAATAATGCATTATAGGCTATCTTCTTGAGGATTTTGTTTGACCTTCTTTTGCCAGTCTTCCCTCTACCCAAATGGACCTCCTTTGATAAGACTGAAGTATGGGCCTCACATAGGTCACTAAACAGTTTTGTAATGCTCTCCATGGCTGCATCAGTTACTGGAGGTCCACCTGAGGCCATGTTAAAGTGGATCTAGCACTAAGAAGTGGATAGGAATCCATTGCAGTTCCTGGGAAAATGAAGGAAATACATCTTTAATAATTATCCCTATTGTGTGTTTCCATTATTTTTAATACCATATCCTATGGATTCTATGTAAAGACTTCTTTTTTAAACTGGGAGTTAAGGAATCCCTCACAAACATAACAAAGAAAATAGTGGTTATCAAGGAAAAAGCTGTTTACAACTTATAGCTCTATCTGATACGTCTCTCAGATATGTTTATCTGAAAGTAAGACCTAATTAATATTTAAAAAACTCATTTCTGATTCACAGTAATCTGTCACTCAATTATGTTTAGCTTCAAATTATATTCACACTGACATCCAACAACTCTGAGGTTTTAACCACAAGCTTTTTTCCACCTCTACCAAGCGGAATTGAAATCCAAAACTATATCAAACAAAGTATGTGTTAAAAATGAGATATCACTTTGCCATGTAAAATGTGCACCACTTGGACATATATCTATAACACTAATATAAAAATGAGTTTTGGCAAGACTAGAAAAAGAAATGAATTGTATGATTGCATGCTGTTACTGTTAAGTGCCTTCAAGAATCTAACTTATGGCAACTCTATCATAGGGTTTGGTTGGCAATCTTCATTCTGAGGTTTGCCACTGAGAAAAGTTGGAAGAGACCACAAAGGCCATCTAGTTCAAACTCTGTCATGTAGGAAAACACAATCAAAGCTTGGCCAACAGATGATCATCTAGTCTCTGCTTTTAAACCCCCAAAGAAGGAAACTTCCACACACTCCAAAGCAGTGTGTTGTTAGGAAGTTATTCCTAATGTTTAGGTGGAATCTCTTATCCTGCAGTATAAATCCACTGCTCCATAGATTCTCCAGAGCAGCAGAAAACAAGCTCACCTTCCTCAATATGACATTCTTTCAATTATTTAAATGTGACTATAATGTCCCTTCTCAGACTTCTTTTCTCCAAGCAAAACACACCCAATTCCCCAAGCCACACTTCATTGGCTTGGCTTTAAAACCTTTGCCAATTTTGGCTGCACTCAAAATGGCCATGTTCCATCTTGTCAATATCCTACTTAAATTATGGTGCCTTCTTAAATTATAGCAATTGGGCACTGTATTCCAGGTATGGTCTGACCAAATCAGAACAGGGATTCAAACTCTGTTCTCACTGAACTATAGTTCAAAAGTCAAGCTAGCACAAACTAGTACAAAAGTCATACGAGTCTCAACCTGTGAGTCCCCAGATGTTTTGACCCTCAACTCCCAGAAATCCTAACAGCTGGTAACCTGGCTGGGATTTTTGGGAGTTGTAGGCCAAAACACCTGGGGATGCACAGGTTGAGAACCACTGAAGTTGTACATCATACTTTTTCCCCTCTAAAGCTGCTTCCTTTGTCTAGAACATTTGCATAAAAAAGATTTGCATCATTTGTACAACTGAGCATTTTTAAGCAACTCTCAAGACTGAATCATACAGTACTATTTGCTCTGAGTCAGTCATCATCACCACCATCATTATCTTACCATGGTCCATTTAGGAATGGCTTCATCTTGTTCAGGGATGGCTTCATTTTGTTCGTACTTAAGGACCCTTTCCAAGTTGTGAAATTTTGAAATGAAGCCTCCTCAACACAGACACACACAGCTACTTGTCTTGCTTTTAGGGGACAGAAGGTCCTGCATCTCCTTGTGAGGTATTATCTCTGAAAGTACAGAGAGAGAGGGAATGAGAGAGAAAGAGTGAGTTATGTTTTTAATTCAAGAGGTAACATGATCACCAAAGAGTCATGGATGGAAGGCAAGAAGGGATGAGGGAGACAATGGCATCACTTAGGGTTGGCGTCACCCATTTCTGTAACTCATGGTGCCATCTACTTAGACCGCCCCATGGACCAGACTAGATTAAATCTTAGTACTCAGGCAAGAATGTGAGAGCTGTTCAACAGTAGAACTCTCTGCCTCAGAGTGTGGTAGAAGCTCCTTCCTTGGAGGCTTTTAAACAGAGGCTGGATTGCCATCTGTCAGGGGTGCTTTGATGGTGCTTTTCCTGCATGGCAGAAGGGGTTTGGATTGTATGGACCACGTGATCTCTTCCAGTTTTATGATTCTATGACCTTTGGTATTCGATCAGGTTTGATTCTAGGACCCGCTGCAGCTACCCAAATCCCTGGATGCTCAGTTACCATTATATACAACGAGATCCGGTCCTGTCTAATGGTTGCGAGTTCTACCCTTGGAATATTTGGGTGTACATGATATGTGTCTTCAAGTGACTTGGCAATTTAGGGTGGCTTGAATTTCAGAGTTCTATTAGGCAAGGAATCCTTAGAAAAGGTTTTGCCAGTCCCTCGCTCTAAAACCGAGCCTACAGCACTGGTATTCATTGGCTGTCTTCCATCTAACTACAGCTGACTTCAGTTAGCTTCCAAGATCAAATGGGACTCCTGTGCCTTTAGGGCAGAGCTTTCCAAACACATTAGTGTGTTGGTTGCAGTGCATAGGTGTGTTGCACAATGAAAATATTGGGAATATATTTTATTATCTAACAAATCATAAATTTTTAAAACTATAAACAGAAGGTTTTGATATGTCCCTTTTCATTTATGTGTCTGTATCTCTTACAACGGGTTGGTTTAACCTCTGGTTTGCTAGCAAAACTGAATTGCTGTGTCATGAAATGATGCATGTCTACAAAGTGTGTTACCAACATGAAATGTTTGGAAAGCTCTGCTTTAGGGTCCTTAGGTCTTTAGTGGCTTTGAACCCTTTATATAGATAGACAGATGGATGCTCCCTTTTATATCCAATTCAGAACATAAAGAAGAAATGATAAAATAAAATGTTTTTTTCCCCCAAAATGAGAAATGAAACCAGCAGTGGAGAATAACATTTGTATTTGGATCTAATCACATTAGAGATCCAACCTTTTTTTGACCAGGGACCACTCTCCAACATTAGTACCAAAAGGGTTACAAATCAGTTTTTGGGCAACTTTAGATTTGGTTTGGTTATTTGGGGTGCTGATTCAGAAAATTGAATTGGATAAACCACATCAGTTCTAGTTTCCGATACAGAACATATGCCATCCAGTAGTCACCACCTGCTCGCCCACAGAAAACCATATTTAATAAGCCTCAGCACTGTAAGAGGGTTTTGCAAGACCAGTTGCTCTCGTTGTAACGCTGACGCCACACCATATTTTAGTTCTTTCAGACCACAGGTTGGGGACCACTGCATTAAAGCATCTATCCACTTTAAATCCAGTTGCTGCCTCCTGTAGGGGTTTGTCATTTAGGGAGAGGCCTTTAAGCCTAGACCTCACTAAATTACAAGCCTTGGAATTCTGCAGGAGGCAGCCACTGAGGGCCTTCTCGGTGGTGCCCCCCCCCCCCCGACTCTGGAACTCACTTCCCAGGGACATCAGACATGCCCCAACTCTGGCAGTCTTTAGGGGCCTGAAAACATGGTTGTTCCAGTATGCCTTCCCAGAATAAGGAAAACTCAATATGCCCTCAAAATGCACTTTACCACTGGTTTAGGATTGACTGCGTTTCCTCATTTCTCTCTGAAAATCCTATCTCAGTTATATCCTACCTTATTCACGTCCAGCATTATTTTTTAATTTTAATCTATTACATTTGGCCCGGCCATTGGTTTTAAATGCTGGTGTGTCACTATTGATTGTTCATTGTTTATTTTTTGTTTATGTGATTTATATGTATTGTATTGTATTGATTGTTTTGTTATTGCTTTTGTTTATTGATATTTTGTGGGCTTGGCCTCATGTAAGCCGCACTGAGTCCTTTGGGGAGATGGTAGTGGTGTACAAATAAAGTTTATTATTATTATTATTATTAACTGGGTTTGTTGTTGTTGTTGTTCATTCGTTCAGTCGTCTCCGACTCTTTGTGACCTCATGGACCAGCCCACGCCAGAGCTCCCTGTCGGCCATCACCACCCCCAGCTCCTTCAAGGTCAGTCCAGTCACTTCAAGGATGCCATCCATCCATCTTGCCTTTGGTCAGCCCCTCTTCCTTTTACCTTCCATTTTCCCCAGCATAATTGTCTGCTCTAGGCTTTGCTGTCTCCTCATGATGTGGCCAAAGTACTTCAACTTTGTCTCTAGTATCCTTCCCTCCAATGAGCAGTCGGGCTTTATTTCCTGGAGGATGGACTGGTTGGATCTTCTCGCAGTCCAAGGCATTCTCAGCACTTTCCTCCAACACCACATTTCAAAACATCTATCTTCCTTCGCTCAGCCTTCCCTAAGGTCCAGCTCTCACATCCGTAGGTTGCTACAGGGAATACCATGGCTTTGACTATGTGGATCTTTGTTGCCAGTGTGATGTCTCTACTCTTTACTATTAACTGGGTTTACAGTGGCTAAATCAAACATGGCCAGGTAGGCTGTTAGGAATTGTGGAAGTTGAAGTCCAAACACCTGGAGGGCCAAAGTTTGCTCATGCCTTGGATAGATGCTCTGGTGTGACGAAGTTGGAAGAGACCACAAAGGCCATCTAGTTCAAACTCTGTCATGTAGGAAAACACAATCAAAGCTTGGCCAACAGATGATCATCTAGTCTCTGCTTTAAAATCCCCCAAAGAAGGAAACTTCCACACACTCCAAAGCAATTATGTTGTTGTTCATTCGTTCAGTCGTCTCCGACTCTTCGTGACCTCATGGACCAGCCCACGCCAGAGCTCCCTGTCGGCCGTCACCACCCCCAGCTCCTTCAAGGTCAGTCCAGTCACTTCAAGGGTGCCATCCATCCATCTTGTCCTTGGTCGGCCCCTCTTCCTTTTACCTTCCACCTTCCCCAGCATAATTGTCTTCTCCAGGCTTTGCTGTCTCCAAAGCAATTATATTTGCCTTTAATTATATTTGAAGGAGCCCCCGGTGGCGCAGTGGGTTAAAGCCCTGTGCCGGCAGGACTAAAGACCAACAGGTCACAGGTTCGAATCCGGGGAGAGGCGGATGAGCTCCCTCTATCAGCTCCAGCTCCTCATGCGGGGACATGAGAGAAGCCTCCCACAAGGATGATAAAAACATCAAATCATCCAGGCGCCCCCTGGGCAACGTCCTTGCAGACGGCCAATTCTCTCACACCAGGAGTTTTCTCCTAGTTTTCTTTTTCTGTGGAAGAAACTATTTATGGAAGCTGTTTTGTTTTTGAGTTTTGCATCATATGGTCCCTGGCAAATCTGGCAATGGAGCCCTTCTATGGAGGCCTCCTGATGCCTTAACCAAGGGCTTCTTTGGCTTCACCCAGCCCTGTGTTCTTTAGGAAGATCCTTCTTAAACGAATAGCTTTCCTATGGGCTCATCTGCACCTCAGAACGAATGCAGTTTGACACCACTTTAACCGCCAGGGCTCAAATGCTAGGGGATCTTGGGAGCCGTAGTTTTCAAGGTCTTGAGCAGAGAAGGCCCCAGAGTGCTGGCGCCTCATTCCCAGGATCCCACAGCATTCAGCCATGACAGGGAGGTCAAGGTTGAGTTCATTCCACAGCGCGGAGCAGCCTTGGCTCTCCTCCCTCAAATTAGGCGCGCTTCTGAGGCGCCAAAGCAGGGCTTTCCAACCTTTCCCCACACAGGCTTCTTAAGCCACAGAAGGCTCCCTCACAGAGGACCCCACAAGCCTGCCTCACGCGGAAATGTCCCCCCCCCCCCTCCTTTTCCCTCCTTCTCCTCTCCCAATGTGTGGCAACTGAATGCCTACTTACAGCCGGGCGGAGGGAGCCATCTCAAAGCGAGGAGCGGGGGAGGAGCCGCGCAGGCGCAATGGGCACCAGGAGGGGCACGTGACCCAGGAACGCCTCTAATGCCCGGCAGTTCACGTCCACCGCGGTTTTGGACTTCAACTCCCAGAAGCCTTCGCTGCCTCGGCCAATGACCAGGGACTCTGGGAGATGAAGTCCAAAAAAGCCTGGAAAAAAAAGAATGCCCAGAAACCGGCACTGCAGCCTACTTCAACCAGAGAAGTCAGCCATACAGAGTTCCTGATGAACCAACCTGGGCACAGCATATTATTGGAGAAAACAGAAATGCTGGACCACTCCAACAACGACCATGTCATGTCAGGCTACACAGAGAAGCCATTGGAATCCACAAGCATGTGGACAATTTCAACAGAAAGGAGGAAACCATGAAAATGAACAAAATCTGGCTACCAGTATTATTAAAAAAAAACCCTCTAAAATGATAACAGTAAATAAAGAACACTCAGAACAGGGGAACTCCAGACAAGAAACAATCAGGGACAGCTAATCACCTCTCAACAAAGGACCCCCCCCCCCCAGGCAGTAAGAAGGCAGACCTTGAAACTGCCAGGCCATTCAATGCATATCAAGGTGGCCAACTGCAACATTCACACTCGCCTCCAACAGACAAGAGTTCTTTTGCCCACCCTGGACATTCCACAGATCTATAAACCCCATTTTCCTAGTTTCCAACAGACCTCACAACTTCTGAGGATGCCTACCACAAATGCAGGCAAAACGTCAGGAGAAAATGCTTCTGGAACATGGCCATACAGCCAAACACAGAACAACCCAAGGCCCATTTTGATTTTTGAAGCTAAGCAGGGCCAGCTCTGGTTAGGACTTGGATGGGAAACCGCACATGAATGTTTGGGGGGGGGGGACTGGCAAACCTCCTCTGATGATTCCTTGCCTATAAGGACCTCATCATACTAGAGAATGAATCCACTTTAAATCCGGTTTCTGCCTCCTGCAGAATTTTGGAGTTTGTAGTTTAGGAAGGAGCCTTCAACAGACTCACTCAACGACAAACCCCAGAATTCTGCAGGATGCAAAAAACAGATTCATTCCCTTGCAGATCAGATCCTCTGGCTGTCACAATTCTGGTTCACTGTTCAGGTAGCTGTTTAGCCTATATCCTTTTTAGTATTTTCTGAACCTATTTGGGGGCAGAGTGGAGCCCCTTCCACACAGCTGTATAAAATCCATACTGAGCTGGGAATATATGGCAACGTGGACTCAGATAACTCAGTCCAAAGCAGATATTGTGGATTGATATTGTGGGTTATGTAGCTGTGTGGAAGGGCCATGGAAATGTATATAGCTACCCACCACTTCCAATGCCTGGCTTTCCAAAATCCAGAATTAGGAGATTGAGGCTGCTTTCCCACAGCCAAGTCCACACTGCCATATAATCCAGCTCAAGGTAGATTTTATACAGCTACGTGGAAGGGGCCTGAAATGATCCAGTTCAAAGCAGATAATGTTGATTATTTGCCTTAATATTCTGAGGTCCCTTCCACATAGCCATATAACCTAGAATATCAAGGCAGAAAATCCCACAATATCTGCCTTGAACTGGGTTATCTGAGTCCACACTGTCATATATTCCACTTCAGAGAAGATAATGTAGGATTTTATTCAGCTGTGTGGAAGGGGCCTGAGTCCTCAGTAATTGGTCTTATGGATAGAGATGGAATATTCAGTTTTCAATAACATGGTTTTCTGCTCTTTGCAGAACATATTCAGAGGATGAAAAATTAGACAAACCCCCAAAGTGGATATACTGTATCACCAATATAACATTGGTGATACAGTATATCAGCTTTGGGGGTTTGTCATAGAGATGGCCAAATCAACACTGCCATATAAAATCCAGATTATCTGCTTTGAACTTGATTATTTGTAGACTCATATAATCCAGTTCAAAGATAATGGGGATTTTATCTGGAAGTATAGATGGGGCCTAAGGCCCCATGTCAATCTGCATTCATGCAAAAGTGTAGATCAGGCACAGGCAAATTTTTGCCCTCCATATTTTGGATTTTAACTCCCAGCTGTTACAAGACTCAAAATATCTTCCAAAGTCTGTTCCTTTTACATTCTAGTAATAGTCCAAGACACCAATCTCAACTGCCTTTAGGAGTTTTCCAGTTATTTCACCCAATCGCCTCGTCCTGCATTACTTACCAAAATCCAACCCGAAGGTCCTATTATGAGTCAATAGCCAGACCTTTTATAATGTTAATTCACTTTATTAATATTCAAAGGATGTTGATAGCCATACTGAAAAAACATTTCAAAGTAGATTTGAGTCTTACAAGTAGAAGCTGATTAATCTCATCATATGATCAAAAGTTAATTGAGTAAAGACAGAAAAGCCTATCTGTAAGATATATACATTCAATCACTAAAATGAAACACATTTCCTTAACTAAAACTGTTATGTCCATTTATCGACAGTTATCAAAATATACATTCAGAATTTGTATTTGAATCAATAAAGGTTCCTGAATTTACCATACACATTAACAATACTTTCAGGAAGACCACTACTGAATTGCACCAGCACATACATATTTTCTTTGGACTGAATTACTTTTCTAAAATTTTAATAACTTTTGGGCGGGGCGGGGGATAAATGAAAAGATTTTATACTTAATATAAGTTGATTTCCTATATACATTATATGATGTTATGGTATTGTAAATTAAAAACAAACAATAAAGGACTTATTAAATATTGGAACCCCTTTGTGACTTTTGTCCCACCCCATATAAAACAGTATGTCACCCACATTTTAGACTTTAGAAAAGTGGTTCTTGTAGTGAAATCTACCTTTAAGGCGTCCAGGCCGAAGCCTGAAAGTCAGTGGCTATCATCTTGAAAGACAGGCAGAAGCAGGAGGAGGAGTCAAGCCGACTCCTGATTGGTCAGAGCAATTAGGGGAGGAGTCGGTTGAGAGAGGGAAAGAGGCTGTCAGCTTTTGACAAGGGGAGAAGTGTCTTGACATCAGACACAGAAGGAAGGGATTTTTAGGAGAGGAAGCTAAATAGGAGTCTGACAGGGAAAGAAAGCTTTAAAGTGAGCCTTAAGGATAGGGAATAAGTAGCAGACAAGGGCTAGGGTTACTGTATTGAGAGGATCAGTAACAGAAAGACTTGTCTTCTTAGACTTAGGAGAAGTTTAAGAGAGCTTATTGCCCCATGTGTGAGACAGATAGGAGTCTGTTCTCTAAGTGATACTGTTTCTAGGAGTAGAGCAGTGTGTTTAAGGAAACTCACAGTTTTAAAAGCTTTATTGTCGGTGAAACTCCTGATTTAAATATACTAAGCCTCTACAACTGAATCAAGTTTCTGTACCGCTCATTCTATGAGTAGATATTTGCTTAAAGTTCAATAAACCTTTTCTAGTTCATTTTTAACTGGTGTCAGCTTCAGTCTGTCAATCTCCTCAGAACTAAGTCAAGTCAATAATAGAAATCTCTTTAAAGTCCAGTCAGCCAGCGAAGAAGCAATAGAAGAACTAAGGGCAAACACACCTTACCTACAACACATTCACACTTTTGGTTCCTCAGACCAATAAAAGCTGAGGTGGTGGCAGTCATATCTATCAAAAGCATCGGTCATTGATATATTTAACCTATGGTCAGCTGCTAATTTTGTTATACCGGTGGCAGCGGTGGGATTCTTTGTTCCCCCCTGCCTCAGACGTTCCTTTAATTTTGTTATAGTTCTCAACCTTCCTAATGCCACGATGCCTTAATACAGTTCCTCATGTTGTGCTGACCCCCAAACATAACATTATTTTTGTTGCTACTTCATAACTGTAATTTTGCTACTGTTATGAATTGTAATGAAAATATCTGATATGCAGGATATTTTTTCATTCACAGGACCAAATTTGGCACAAATATCCGATATGCTCAAATCTGAATGCTGGTGGGCGGGTGGGGGTGGGGATTGATTTTGTCATTTGGGAGTTGTAGTTGCTGGGATTTATAGTTCATATACAAAGGGCATTCTGCACTCTACCAATGATGGAATTGAACCAAACTTGGGACCTAGAACTCCCATGACCAACAGAAAATACTGAAAATGTTTGGTGGGCATTGATTTTGAGCTTTGGAGTTGTGGTTCACCTACATCCAGAAAGCACTGTGGACTCAAACAATGATAGCTCTGGATCAAACTTGGCACGAATACTCAAAATGCCCAAATGTGAACACTGGTGGAGTTTGGGGAAAAGAGACCTTGACATTTGGGAGTTGTAGTTGCTGGAATTTATAGTTGACCTACAATCAAAGAGCATTCTGAACCCCACCAACGATAGGATTGGGCCAGACTTCCCACACAGAACCCCCATGCCTTGAAGGGACTCACTGGTGTGAGCCTCCCAGCCTTATTTATAGAGCGGAATATAAAGTGTATTATTATTATTATTATTATTATTATTATTATTATTATTATTATTATCATCGTCATCGTCATCAATGTAAGTTCCGTACCTTAACTCTTATCAAAAAAAGGAACAATTCTCTCTCCATTTCAGGAGCACCTAAAAGAAGCACTGAGCCCCCTCTATTCTCTCTAACACAACACCACTTCTCGCCTTTTATAATTCATTTGCTGCAAAGTTAACGAAGAATTTGTTTCCACTATATGGTCACCAGGCTACTGTAGATACTTGTGTATAAGTCGACCCCGAAGTTGTACTCCTAAAATGGTTAAAATATTCCTCAGAGGTATTGCAAGTAAGGCAGTCTTTTTGGCTTTGTTTATGTATTCCTGCATGGCAAGGGGTTGGAATAGATAATCCTTCTGGTCCTTTCCAATTTTGTAATTATATGAAATATATCTATCCACACACAAATGAACAATATGTGTATATCTAGAAAGAATACAACCAGAGATATGTCGGTATGCCATTGGAAGATGGGACTCCCAGGTCGGAAGATGGCCAAAATGCTA